GTATGCCACGTAAATAGGGATGACAATGGGGCGGGGCGGGACAGGTTGAGCTTAACCCGCATAATTTTTAATCCGTCCCGCCATGCATGACAACTTTTTTCATTTTCAATTCACCCCATCCTGCCCCGCATGAACTCTCCTTGCATACTTTTTTAATATTTTCTTTTTCTAATTAAGTTCGATGATTAAAATAAAATTTATACCCAAATATTTTTTCATTAAGTTGTATTAATTTAATAGGATAGTGACTTGAAATTTTATTTTTTAAGGTCAATTGGAAACATGTAAGAAATCGTATTATTTTTTATTGAACCACTTTGATTTACTATCTTGAATATTTTAGCAGTTTTAAATAAAATATTTTAATAAATAATGTTCTATCCCTCTGATAACATGTAAGAAGTTAAAAATTAAATCTGAACACACATGAAATCACGGATATTTGTAACCCGTCTCACCCCATATTAATTTAAATAAAACCTACTTCAACCCGCCCGGCATGCCACCCATCCCTCCCTATATAGCCTTAAATCCATCCCGCCCTGTCTCATTGTCATTCTACACATAGACAAAGTTCAAAGAGTAATAGGTTTTTAGTTTAATTAATATGTGTCTCTAAAATTTCACAAATATCTTATCCCTTTTATTTATATTTGCTCTATCATACCATAATATATTTGATAAATTTTCAAGGCCAATGAGTCAAACGTTTAATGAGTTTGTTGAGGTTATGTATAGGTGTGGATCTAGAATATTCTACATGTTATTTTCCTTTTGGACAATATTAAGTACTTATAAATATACTTTTAACACATTTATTTAAAATAAGACAGTTTTCATATTCATGGTTGGAGCTAAAATAATGTATTTACTATGTTGGGAGGAGTCATGTTCAAAGCTACAAGGCATAACATTGCAAATTTTAAGATTTTAATTATGCGATAGTAACTTAGTTTGATATTTTAGAACTTTAAATTAAACTACTAAAAAATTATTATTTATCGGTAAGATTTTCAAGAAGAGGAATCAATGTATTGTATTGCACAAATGACTATCATTTTATTAAGTTGAAGGAATCTTTTTTATTCTAAGTAAATAAGAATTCTAAGGGACAATCCAAGAGTTATCTAAATAATTTTTTAATATCTTCATAACTTCGCCAGTGTTGCGTCTCCTGTAAAAATCATTTCCTTTTGATGTTTTTTTGATAATTTTTTTTGGATATTTGAATTTACAGTAACCTTTCTTCCTTAACAAGATAACTTTCGAATACCACACTGCTACCCGCTTTGCTCATATGAAAACAATAGAGGATATTGTAAAGGATCGTAACAACCTAAGTAATAGTTAGCTCTTTGTGTTTTGTTATTGTGAGTATAAATCTGAACATGTGGTACATGTACATCATCACAATCATTTTCATTCACCCATATTGATGCTACTTCAGTAGAACTCAGTGGCGGATCTAAGATTTTAAGGTTGTGGGTGTTCTGAAGTAAAATTGTAAAAAAATATGTGTTAGCAATGAGATTCGTACATTGGTACAACAAAACTAAAAGAGTCTTAAGTACCCATTCTAAAATCATTGGGCCAACTATATGATTTATTCATTATGTGATCTATGTTAATTTTATACAAATACCTATCGATTTCTACATAGATATATATATTTCGTAACGAAGTTAATGAGTGCTCGAGCACCCGGCGGACACCATGCGGATCCACCAGAACTTGGTAGATTAAATACTCGCCGGTCCAATTCAGTCACATTTAAGGGCGATATGATGATTTTGCAAGTTAGGAATCTTAGATAAAGTTCACAAAAATATACAATATGAATAATCTTTTAGTATGTCCATCAGTTCCTTCACTACCGATTCATCCACTTTATCAGAAAATGTCATTCTATTCGCAACCTTATTCTCATTATCATAAAAATATAATTGTAAGTTTCTAGGGCTTCTCTCATTGGGAAAAAAATTATCTATAAAGTGATACATATGTAAGGAAAAATGTAAGTAATTAGTTTGATATGCTCTAACCTTGTGAAATAGAGGAATAACATTTTACATTAAGGTCTCCTTTGTTTGCACTTGATGGAGGTATGAATCATAATCCTTTAGATTCGGCCTATTAAGTACGTTTGATTTTTGGTTTTTGAATCTTTTTTTTAATGGAATATAATTAGATTGTAGTTATATTCATATAAAAATACCTAGATCTTAACACAAATCTAAATATTCAAATGTATATTCAGATTCAGACCTCTTAATCTTAATGGAAACAAATGAGGTCTACGATATTTGTATTTACAAGAAGCTGCCTAGTTGTCGCCTCTCGATTTATAAGGTGTCGCTGCAGCAGAAGCGTATTCTTCCGTTAATTCCTTATATATAAAAGTAGTAAAGTAATATATATAGTATATACACTCCACATTCTTGTGGATGATATTTTTTACATATATGGTAATTCATTTTAGAATTATGCAATACTGATACGCTCAAACTTACTTCTCAAATGAGAAGTAAAGCGGTCGTGTCAAGTAAATAACCCAACTAGTGAGGTTGGGATCGTTCCCACGAGGAAAATAGTCTAGACTTAACTTCAACTTGTTATTACTATTATTCGGTTGATGACTTCCTTAGAAAGTAAAAGCATAAAAAGGGGGGTTTGTATTTCCTAATGAGCAAAAATAACTAACGAATTCGAAAGAGACACTTAACAACTTTTAATGTTGAGTTTTAATCAAGTAATCAAAGTAACTAGGGTTTACGTGTTCCCCACAGGTTCATAACTTGATAATCCTAACTATAACAATTCTTTCCTAGTATCTTGCATGCAAAGTGATAAGTTATGTATTTCTAAATCCTTGGTCCGGCATCTAGAAAATCTCACTCCGCACCTTGGTCCGGCTACGTGTGTTGCTTTCCTAACCCTTATCTTTACCTCATATTAAGCATCGTATTCGATATTTGACTAAGTTATTACCTCGTGCCAATCAATACTAGCCTATTAGATAGTATACACTAAATCTATGTTAATAATTCTTTTCCTATTATCTACCTCCTTGGTCCGGCAAGTAGCATTAAGGCGAGTTCTAACGTTGATCATCCGTTAAAAAGACTTCTAAGCGAAAGAATTATTAATACATGCAAGACACGATTCTAGAATTGTTATTTTAGCTAGGGTTTATCTCATTATTTGCCTATGGTTCCCACAACCCTAGTTATGGAGTTTAGTTCCTCATAGCCATAAACACAATATTCAAATATGGTAAACAAGAATTCATGTACTTACTTCAATGAGAAAGAATAAAGTCCGAAAATTTGCTTGATTAATCACCAAAAATCACTTGGAAGAATCTCTAACAATCAAGCACTCAAAACACAAAGTCTCACAATATAATGTTTAATATCACAGAGTCTAACCTCAAAAACGAGGTTTTTCGAACTATTTATAAAAAATAAAAACCTAATTAAACAAGGATTCTAATTACTGGAAATCTGCCAAAACGCGACTGGGTCGACGGACCACGCGACGGACCGTCGTGAACTCCATCGTCCCATACTTGGTGCAATTCTTCTGCTGCTTTCTTCATTCCCCTCGACGGCAAGTGTGACGGACCGTCATAAGCACAACGGTCCGTCGAGGGTCTCGTTTCAAAATACTTCAACTCTTGGAATCTGGGTACTGGATCACTTCTCTGATCTTCACGACGAACCTGCAGGACGGACCGTCATAGCTATGACGGACCGTCACAAGCTTCGTAATCCCACACTTGGTCAGACTTTCCCATCTTCCTTCAACAACTTCTCTACGCTGCCACCTACGGACCGTCATAAGCTCCGTAGGTGGTCTCTTCTGCAATTTTCGCTCAAAATCTCCGCGTTCAGCTTTGGACAGATTTCCTGCAAAACAAAGAGAAAATTATATTAAACTTAGCACAAACAAGGCTTTCGGACACACTAAACTTAAGGAAAAAGTATTAATTATACCGTGAAACCACGGTATATCAAATACATAGGGGTGTTAATGGTTTGGATTCATTATTGATAAAATCAAAACAAATCAATTTAATCAATTTTTAAATTTCTAAAATCAAATCAAACAAAAAAAAAACAATCGTCTATTTGGTTGGTTTTTTTATTTATTTGAAAGGTTTAAATTTGTTGAGGGTATACACATTTTGATAGACAAGGATACGTAATACATGAGCAATCCACTGAAAAAATTATCGTGAATTCAATTGAACAAATTAGAGCTATTATTTTATGAACAAAGTAATTGAATTAAGAAAAAATGTAACTACATGATGTGAGGTAGGGTAGACAAAGCCTGAACTCTGAAGTAATGGATTTTGATAGATTGAACTTAGAGTTCTTATAGTAGAACTAAAATTTATGTGCTGGACTTTAGGATATAATAAAGTTAAAGACCTAGTTAATTTAAATTTAACAAAATATTTATATTTTATCTATGAATAATATATTAAATTATTACGAAAATTATATATATAATTTTTTTGTTAGATTTGATTATTTTTTGCGTTTTTAGTAATGTGATTCAATTCAGATTACTGTGCAATTTGATTTTTTTAATCATAACTACGAAAAACCCTTACAAATTATTTTTGATATATTAAAGGAAAAAAAGACTAATACACCCTGAACTTTGTCGTACTTTTGGGACATTGATGATCCTGCCGTTCAAAAAAATTATAACATATATCGTTATTAACGGACATACACGTGTCATAATCTTATCCGTCGATCCGACATCTAATCGTTAGATAAGATTGTACCACGTGTTTCTATTTAGTCATTTGTTAGAGTGAATGCATATATTTCTAATTTTTGGATGACAAGATATCAATATCCAAAAAATATAACGAAAAATATTTATATACTATTTACAATAATTCGAGAATATATTTATTTATATTGCTAATAATAAAAACACAATATTACTAAATATGACCATATTCATCATTATTGTTTTATACACTGCCAAATGACACTGATTTGTTGCTTCTGAAGACAAATAAATTTAACAATCTCGAGGAGAAGTTCACTTTACTTAGGCCGGAGGAGGAGTTTGATGCCGGAATCCCAAAAACCTGCTAGTGTGTGATCGGAGAAAGCTTATCTATGGAGCGCGTAAGGCTTCGATTGACGTTCGAGGACCCGAACATTCTCAGTGATTTACAGAAATCAGAGGGTCTGAGGTGCAGTTGGTTTCTTCTCAAACCCCAATTGCTACACAAAACTATCTCCGATCTGTCTTCTCATATTCTCCGCACTTTTCAACTCCATGGCTCTTGTCCGCATGGCCTTCTCCTCTCTGTATGTTCTCTAACTTCAGTGTTTTTTTTTTAGTTGATTACTGTTTACTGCTGTATGATTTGTGGATTCAGTATTTTGTACTAGTTGAAATAGAGTGGTTCACTGAGCTTGCGTGCACTTTAACTGAGTAGCTACTGTTAGAAAAATAGGAAACATAATCGAAGAAGAAATGACTGTCCATATACATATTAGGAAAATACAAGGAATTTCATACAGTAAAGCCTATGTTTATACCTGCACATTTCTCTTAAGCTACTTCGAGAGATGATTTTTCAGAATAGTCATATTCTTTTACATACACGCGTGTGTTCAATTTAAGACCTTCATATATTACAAACTATCTAACAGCTACATCTTTAACTAGTTGCTAATTTTTCCACTGAGGGTTAGGAAAATGGAGAAATCACCTACCTTATTTGTTTTCTGATTGGTATGAAATTATGGTTTCCCATGTTTTTTCATTGACCGCTATCCAGTAGCCACAGTGTTTGGTGCTTGGTTTGTTACATTGCTGATTGAACTTGGAGATGGAGGCCTTTCTCTGGCTGCTCCGTTGCTACAAATTAAAATTTCTATGACATTACATTGTTAAGTGGCTCACTTTCCCGTCATATACATGCAGATGGACGGTTTTCTCTTGCCTCCTTTCGAATCAACTTGTATCTTGAAGGATAAATGTATAGTCAGGTTTGCTAAATTGCAGTTTTGTCACTTTTTCAAAAATTTCTTATTGTTATTATTATTACTGTTGTTTCTATTCATAAAAGTTATATTCCTGAAACTCATATGTTAGTGTGAAGAAGAAAGGCGGTGTTTTGGCCATTGAAGGAAATGATGCACCAAGTATAGTTGAGAATATCAGAATTGTTGAGAAGCAACCTGTAAACACGCGACACTTACTGTTGGCGAATAAGGAGTTTGACAATGAATCTGGAGGTTATGAGAGTGAAGATGAGGAAGGGGCAGATCCAACAAAAGTTTCAGGTTCACATCTGGAAAATTCATTGGGTTGTAATATTATCTCCGAGAAAAGGAAGGCCACAGAAACACTTCCTGTCTCGAAGTAATTTCTTGATCACTTGGTTGGAGATTCTGATTTGCCCATACATTGGTTTTGTAAGGCTCACAATTGACTTCTTGAATCGTTCTACTTCACAGGAAAAAGAAACATTGTTCTGAAGTTGCTGAGAAGGTTGATGAGCAGACCAAGAAATCTCAACAAGGTCTGACAAGCAAGAAGAGTCATTGCAAGCAAAAGAAGCTAGCTGATCCGGATAGCAAAGATTTGGATAATATCAAAGGAAGTGCTGAAAGTAGCAAGGTTAATGACAGTATTTCGGGCATGAAGAAGTACGACTATTGGAAGCTACTATCTCATTCTTTGCATGATTACAGTTTATTTCGGTTATTTTTGCTTTATTTGGCCAGTTTCTCCCCATTTTCTTGGTGTATTCCTTTGAAAGCCTTACTGTGGTCATTACTAGATTTTACATTCCTTCCCGCAATACCACTTAGTTGAGGGTTTATTCCTTTCCACTACTACCATTTTAGCATCAATAACAAAATTGAAGGTGTTGATTGTCTCCATTTCGATGAGTGTTTCCTTGCTGATGTATTTTCTTTGATTGTTTTGTGTATCATTTAAGTGTTGCTCACCCTTTGTACGGAGTATGGGTTTGGTGTTTGAACATGAAGTCCAAACTAATAGGAACTAATACAACATTAGAGCCCTGTTGCATGACAGCCTGAATACCCCATCTTTCCATATCAGGCATCTTGTAAGTTTCCCAAGTTCATCTTTGTCCATCTTCTGCTGGTTAAAATCTTGAATGTATCTTCTTCATAATAATTCATAGTAATTTGTCCCTAATCTGATATTTGTTTGCGGTGGGTTGACAAGTTCAATCTTACCAATGAGAAGTGCAAGATCCAGGAAAATTTGTATTTATAGCTGCTTCTCTTGTGACGACTTAGGCATTTGCAAGTGCATCCTGTTCTTTTTTGTACATGCAGAAATGTTCAATATCTTGGTAGCTACTGAACACTTTTTCCGTTTAATATAGAAGTGACAAGATTCAAGAGAAGGGTGTGGAGAATGTAGAGGCAACCACGAAGCCTGAGAGAGTAAAAAAGGTCCATTTCTACAACTTTTCTCATACATTTCTTTGAGAAATTGACAACAAATAATCCTACAGTTGGTGGAGCTATTTCAGAAAATTGCGTGAAACTGTGTAGATTAATACTGCATCTGCACTGTATTAGAAGTGTTACGTAAAAGTGACATTTGTTCTTGTCATAAAGTCATCTGACATGATCAGACGCTATTGTGCATTGTTAGATCTGTTGGTTACTATAGTTTTTGATGAAGCTAGTGGTTTCATTGATGGCATCTAGAAGATGCAAAATTACAAACGATATTGCATCCAAAGATAAAACTGAGATAACTCTATAGCAAAAGCAGTCTACTCTAGAATCAAGGAGCTAACAGAGATCAAAAAGTTGTCATGAAAATTAACAGGGAACAAATTGTGTCAGTTAGACAGAAACATTAAGCACCTAGCCTTTATAGATTGATTGGGAGTTGATGTACCATCAAAACATCACTATCTCTCCGTCCACAAAACCCAAAAAATGCTAGCAGGGATCTCCAAATCTTCCTGATGGCTCTGTAAACTTTCCATGTGCGCTAATTTTCAAAGGCTTCCTTAGTATTCTGAGGCATGACCCAACTAGTCCAAAAATAGGGAAGACCATACTCCATAAATCTGTTGCAACTGTGGAAATTTTCAACAATCATTTTTCCCACATCTTTCTTTTCAACTATTTTTAATAAAAAAAATAAAATAAATCTGTAGCAACTGTGCCGTGTAGAAACAAATGATTGTTGATCTCTACACTATTATATGACACATGTAGCATCTATTAATAATTTGGACTTTTCTTTTCCTTTAGTCCTCGTATGTGAGGCATGCTTCCTGTAGTGCAATCCAACAAAAACATATGATTTTTGGGGGTAATTGGTCCTCCAAATTAGCTTCCATGGCCAGCTAGTAACCTCCTTTGACAGAATAGCTCCCTTCCTTAGAGCTTTCCCACTTCAACTGGTCCACATTCTGGGCATTCACTGGACAGGTTTCTAGTCTTGACAAGAGGCTCAGCAGATATTCAAACTCCCATTCTTGCATATTTCTTCTGAATTGGATGCTCCAAGTATTGTTTTCTCTATATCGGAATATGGTAGAGGTAGGATCACATGATACGATAGAGGCTTGGGTAATCCTCCTTTAGCATACTATTCCCAAGCCACTTTTCCTCCCATAATTTGATGTGTATGTCCTGATTGAATTCATCCCAGAGTGGAGCTCTGGAAAGCATAGTAGTGACTATGAATCCATGCTTGGCTTTGATTATCTCTTTCCATAGTGTGCCTTCTTGTGCACATCTCCATAGCCATTTCACTAGTAAGCTCTTGTTATGTGTTAGCCAAATCTTTGATACCCAGGTCACCCTATAGCTTAGGCATAGTGCATTTAGACCACTTAACCAGGTGGACTTTGTGGCGCTTGTTTCCCTGCCACAAGAAGTCCCTTCTGATTTTGTGTAATTGCTTTACAATCTCTTTTGGAATAGGGAATGATGACATCAGGTATGTTGGGATGCTATCTAGTGTACTATTGATAAGTGTGAGCCTTCCACCCATTCAAAAATACTGCAACTGCCATGAGGTTAGTTTCCTTTCAAACTCTCAACCACTCCACTCCAGGAGTTTTCAACTTTGAATTTTGCACCTAGTGGTAGGCCCAAATAGGAGGTTGGGATAGATCCAGTATTACAACAAACGACTTCTGCTAGATTTCCTAGGTTGGGTACCTGATTAACAGAATATTAAGATTTTTGAGCAAGTAGATCTGTACATGTGTAGTCCTGATGGAACCTCAAAAATGAGCAGAGTGATGTTCAGGTAGAAACCTGGTTAGTATCACCCGACAGAATAATAGTGTATCATTGGCATACAGTATGTCGGAGATATTGACTGAACCCTGGACTTCTTCCCACATCAAAGTCATTAAGCCAGTGCAGTTTCTTGGATCCAACAGTCTGCTAAAGCGTCCATGGAAGTATGAAAAGAAATGGTGATGGTGGATCACCTTTCCACAGGCCTTTCACTGTCATGATGCTGAATTCGATCCATCTGATCCACCTCTCGAAATCCCATTTTTCTTAGCAAAGCAATTAGATATGACCAATTCAGTTGTCGAAAGCTTTCTCAATGTCTAGTTTGAAAATTATTCCTGCTTCTCCACTTTTTAGCTTCCACTCCAGCAGTTCATTAGCATTGAGTGCAGGATCAGTGATCTGGCTATTTTTTATGAAGGCATTCTGATGGTTAGAGACTATTTTCCCCGTGACAATTTTGAGCCTTTCAGCAAGAACTTTGGCTGCAATTTGGTATATGCTGACAACTAATTGGCATGTAATCTCTTAGTTCGGTTGCTTCTTTCTTCTTAGGAACTTGAGCTATAAAAGGTGCATTTGTCCACCTAATCATGGGGCACTGTTGATGAAAGTGATTGAGGGCATTCATTATGTCAACTTTGATAAACTCCCAAGCCTTCTGATAGAATGCCATAGTATACTCATCAGGCCGAGGGGGGTTGTCAGGAGCACATGATTTGATCACAGTCGGTAATTCATTCTTTGTAAAAGCCAATTCAGGGCTAACTTTCTCCTATTCTGAAATGCTTTCTAAGCCCTGAAAATCAGGACTTGGTATCCAGTTTTCATGTTCTGTGTATAAGTCATAGAATTTCAAGATTTCCCTTTTGATAGTCTGTATCTTCATTGCATCACCTACTCTGAGCTTGTCAATACAGTTGCCCCTCCTGTGAGAATTAGCCATCTTCTGGAAGTACATTGTGTTACTGTCTCCTCCTTTCGACCACAAACATCTTGAATTTTGCCTCCATGAGGTTTCCACAGCTTTGACCAGGTGCTGATATTGCAGTTTTAGAGCCAGTAGCCTAGCCCTCTCTGTTGATGAAGGGGTGTGGTTTCTGCCATCTGTTCCACCGCAGAGAGTTCAACTAGAATTCTCCTAATTTGGTTTCTACCTTGCCATAGACCTCTTTATTACAGTTTGTGATGTCCCTTTCGAGATTCTTCTGCTCTTGAACAAGTATGAAGTCGGGATTGCCATTAACTCTGTAACTTTGCCACCATTCCTTTGCTTTATCAAGGAAGCCCTCAGCCTTTAGCCACATGTTTTCGAATTTAAAATAAGAATGGCCCGTCTCCCAATCACCATTCTCTAGTATCAAAGGTCTGGGTCTTGATAAAACCATCGGGAGAGCTACCTACTTAATTAAGTTAAAGCTATCATTCCATTCATACGAGAACAAGATTCTATCGATTCTGGAGGCTCGTATGTGTGCTTCACCTCAGGACCAAGTGAAAGTGGCATCCTCTAATGGCAGATCAATCAAAACCAGATCTTGTATTAATGCTGAGAAATCTCTCATGGGTTTTGTTCTCCTTGTACAATTTAACCTCTCGTTTTCATGTCTGAATACGTTAAAGTCACCCGGAAGACCCAATGGTCCTCCATAATCCCCTTATACCTATTTCATGCTATGATAATTCTCTCTCAGGATTGGTGTGTGGGCCATATATCCCAGTGGAAAACCAACTAAAATCCTCTTGAAGGGATTCTGGCATACATGCGATAGAATAAGAGCCTTGGTAGATCTCTGTACATCGCCATTGGCACTTGTCCCACAGCACTATCATCCCTCCCCTTGTGCCACTGGGTTTTAACTCTGCCCAATCAGCCCACCTATTGCCCCCCATATATGATGAATAAGTGTAGTTGACCAGTCTTCTACTTTCATCTCCTGTAAACATATTATGTCAGCCTTCCATTTATGAATCAGACATTTGAATTTAGCTTCTTGAGGGGAGAAATTTGTTGGGGTATTTCACAAGTTATATTCTCTTACTCATATGACCAGTTACCTGTGTTACAAATAGCTTCCATTATATTTCACTGTTAATCGTATTTTTCATTTTTCCTTCAGAAGATTTGCCTAAAGATCTTGTAGTGCTCAGATGTTGATTCTCTCTCAGGGTCCGAGTAGAAGTGCCCGGAAACAATATGCTAAAAGGCAATGGTTGCGAGAAATGGTCAAAATTTATAAGAATGTAGCTTCTGAAGCAGAGGGACTTGTAAGTTAATTATAAGATGTAGATATTTGCGTCTCTTTTTAGTTCTCAAAAAAATTATAAGATGTAAATATGCCAACTGTTGTTTCCACGGTATGTTATATTTGAGCGCAAAAATTTTGCTGCGAAAATAGAAGGAACTGCAGGCTAATGGTGGAAGAAGAGCTGGTAAATTACACCCAAAGTGGCTTGTTAATGGTGAGACTGATGGCAAACCAATGGCACGTGTGAGTAGTGAGATGTCGAGAAGTACTTCTTGCCTTTGCTTCTGAATCATGTATCAAAAACTTATATGATAAAGACTTTGCAGAGGAACTGGAAGCAGCAACAAAGCAAAACTGAATATCAAGAGGTGAATGGCCAACCAAAAGGACTAGTGAGTAATCAGACTTGAACAAATGTTTTAATTCTTCTGCATAGTCTCATTTCTGTTGATAAAGTAGTGTCCCACATGTAGCTGCACTGGAAGAAATTGCGGGAAGAAGATAAGGGTAGAGATACGAACAAACAAGATCAGGCGAATGAAAAAAGCACCTTCTGTGGAGAACCAGGACAACACAATGATATGGAGGCTGAAACTATTCCAGGTTTTTTTTTAATGATTCAGCTGTCCTCCACTTTTCAGGGGGAGGACTTTTGGATGCTATTCTTCTTCCTACCAGTTCTTAAAATATTAATCCAAATCTAACCGCTTTTTTTGCCATAGTTTCAGTTTTGCATTCTTTATGGAAGAACTCTGGTTATCAATAAAAATAAAAATATGGAAGAACTATAGAGTCTTGAGTTTTTTCTTTTTTGATTTAATGCAGATCAAGCTTTGCAGCATGATCAAGTGCAAGAGGTAGGTTCGGCTATAGTTTGTATCATAATGTTCTTGCAATTAAATTCTTTTGAATTTTTTAAGAGTTTTAGGTACCAAAAGTAGAGTTGTCAAGTAAAAATTTGTCTTGAATGTCATTTTGAGATTTGTATTGAAGCTTAACAATTTGAGATGCTAATACAAGGAGTAAACAGATATCGTTAATGATATGTGGGCTATTTGGTTATAAATCAATAAAAGATGTTTCGAAAGAAAAAAGCACCAACTCTCTTTCATGAAGGACAGATGATTAGTTTTAAATTGCACCATAAAAGCATCGATGTGTGGAGAAGAAACCTCATTGAAGCTGGTCATAAATGACATGTAAGATACCTCATGTATATAGAAGTTTATGCCACAGGATATAAAAAATTTATAAAATTACGATTATATCCAGTTTTTTGTTATAAATCACATCGAGATAACTCCATTTTGTAAGGAAGATGGATCACACGAGTTACTTGAGCTGAGTGAAATTGAATTTACATCCTGTCTGAGTGGATGTCACTGATTGGAATTTTGAACCCAAATTTGAGGAAGTCTAGGTTCAGTGATATTTTTATGTTCAATTAAGTCCAAAAGTTTCTCTTTAGTACAGGACATGTGTCATCTCTTGAGATGGTTTGTTAGCTAGTGGGGTATCATAGAGTATTGTTGTATATCCTGATTCTATAGTATATCAGTGCAGTCTCAGATGGAGATATTGATTGAATGAAAAGTTATTTTAATTCTTATTTCTCTTTGATTCCTCTTTGTTCTAGTTTATGGCGTTCCCCAGTTGGGAATCGCTAGAGTGGATTTCTCTGTGTCGTGTTTTTGCACTTTAGTTACAAATAGTCAGATATTCAACTTCTGCTTGTAATGCTAATTGCAGAGGCCTTCTTGCGACAACTTGGAATAATAAATTGCATCTTCTTGCAGATAGTTTTTCCGTCAATTGATGAAGTTTGCCTTGTCAAAAATGGTAATTCAGACTCTGTAGCAGGACTTCCTGCCACAAACAAATCAAATCCAGTCCTTAAGGCTGCTAAAAAGAAAACTAATGGCCCAGCTATAGGTAATTATCGTTGTTATTGCACTGGCTATGTGGTGGAGTTAGTTGGAGGAGATTTCATTAGATCAACGTTAATTTTCCTTTCCATTTGAGTCATTATAATTTGACTGTTTGTGGAAATGAACCATGGAAACCAAACACATTCTGGTCTTAAAGGTGTGAGATGATGCTTTTTGTTAACTCCTTGACGATTAGTCATTACTGTGCGTTGAATTTCATAACTAGGTATTCATGTTATTTGCAGAAAAAGGAGTAAACCTCTGGGAACAACACAGTGAGACCATCAACGCGGAGAAGGAACAGTTACATGAAGAAAGTAGCTGGGGTACGTGGAGCTCTGCGAAGAAGAGCTCATGGTCAGAGAGAACCTTGAAAGGCAGTGCTCGTGGTCCTACAATGGCCTTTCGAAGATATAAAAGATGAAATATGAGATGAAGCAAACTTGTATATATTGTGTTCCTTACTCTCACAATGAAGTCAACGAACTCCGTTTTGTAGGTATCAAGGGGAAACTTTGTTGCTTATAGTAGCAGCAAGTTAGTGTTACCTAAAGTTTATCTGGATGTCTTAGTTAGAACTAGTATGTAAAAATGTTCCATATGTAAGCTTGACAAAAATTTAACCTTTGTTGTACTGTACTGCAAATCTGCAAAGTGTCTAACCTAAAACTAGTTTGAGTTTTTGGTGCAAGTAATTCTAGTATATGTGTGCTTTAAGCATGGTTTCCTGTTATTTCTTCATCTCTTTTTACTCGAGGTTGAAGTGTATAGTCGAAGGAAATGACATTTTATGCGGTTAATTTAATTATCTAATTTAAAAAAGAGGACAAACAATGTTTTTTTAGGTAAAATATCTAGGTGGAATACTTCATTAGGAATTAAGATGTTTACTTAAGTATTTTTTTTAATTTGATTTTATTTCACATTATGTCTTTCAACTTTGGATGAGCATAATATATTTGTATAAAATTAAATAAGTAGATATATAAGTTGTATGTGACATAATCCACGTAAGATACCACTACGTTGGACTCAAATTGATACATGATGAGCACGTGTCTATTGTTTAATTTTATACATATTTGTGCACACCAAAAGTTGGAAGACATAAATGTGAACTAACGTTAAATTAAAAAAATTCTCCCTCTGTCTCTATTTTACTTGTTCATATTTCCTCTTTTAGCTGTTCTTATTTGTTTGTTCATTTTGACAAATCAAGAAAGGACAACTTTATTTTCGTATTGTACTAAAATTCTTGAAAAATTTAAGTTTTAATTCATAATTTTTGAAATCATAATAAATAAGGATAAAACTGTAACTTCACTATGCTAATTATTGCTATGATGCTATCTTAATATGTGTGTCATTTTTAAAGTGAACAACTAAATATGGACAAAATGAATATATTTATGTATTATGTCTTGATTAAAACTGACTTAGTTCAAGTTTCTAAATATTAACAAGTTTAACTGACAGACCATTAATTACTTGATGATGATTAATTATTAGTTGTATATAAGTTAAATCATAATCTGTATCTCTTAAAATAAAATCATTTTCTTGTCCCAATACAAGTTAAATTTAACGGTCCAATTTGCAAACTGATTATTATGATCTAAAGAAACGAATCCAATGTTGTTTTTTTTTTTTAAAAAAAAAATTAATTCCAGAAAAACTAGCCGTTACAAAAGCCAAGAGCGTCTAAAGCTCAACGTGTACTTCTTTTCTCGTCCATTGATGAATGCAAGAACCAGAAAACCCTAGCCAATCAGCAATACTACAAAATCCAAACTCCGACCAATTTTCCGGCGACAATCACATTGCTTTTCCACAGTGACTGATGGAGTCCAACTGCAAATCCACTAGGCTTACGCCTAAGAAATGCTCCAAGAATACCGAAAATTTGAACCCAAATGTCGAAAACAGTCCGGGGTTTTCAAAATCTTGTAAATCACCAATGATGGCCAAATCGGCGATGAAAACCCAAAAGTCAGTTTCCAGAAACCCTAATACTAGTCAATTGGCTTCGCCTTCACCCAAAAACAAAATTCGTCAGAGGAAGTTTGTTATTGCCAAGAAGAAGAAGTCTAATAGAGATGAAGTGAACGCTTCAATGGTTTGTAAGTGTAATAAGGTTGGTGATGAGAAAAAGAAGTGTCTTTGTGTTGCTTACGAGACTCTCAGGGCTTCTCAAGAAGAGTTCTTCAAGAATCGTAGTGGAAATGAACAGGAGGAGGACAATGAAGTAGAGAAGTTGGATCGCGATGACGAGTCCTTGATTTCAAACGTTCAGAGTGTTACTGGGTGTATGGGTGATTTGCCAGTCAGGAACAACCAGGAGGTAACAGTTCCCGTTTCAATTTCTGAGGGTGAATTAGTTGAATTGGCGGAAACGTCAAAGGAAGGGGTGGGTTCGGGTGGAATGAATGTTGTTGGGACTGTAAAGAGGGGGAGGGAGAGGTTGTTGGAAGAAGCAAGACAAAGTGTACCTGACTCTAGTTCTGGGAAAGTGTTAAATCTTGTCAAGGCTTTTGAGAAGCTCCTCACACCAAAAAAAAATGTGTGCGAGGAGAAAGGGGAAAAAGATGAAAAGGAAGAAGAGTCTAGCAAGGAACAACAAGGCTTACAACCCCCCAAGATTCCTGAGACACAGGTATCTTCATCTTCGTTTTGTCCACCGGATTTTTTCCTCACCTCCGAGAGTTTAGGCTTGGATTCGCGTCGTGCCTCCTCATTGGATAGCAGCCATGGATGGTCAGTATTCGGAACACCAGTGATTCAGTTTTATTTTCTGTTTCACTTTCCCATGTTAGAAGGATTCACTATATTATCAACTAGTCTTAAGCTGATTTTCAACCCTGCTTTATCTGAGCTTGTATGTAGTAGATTCATATAGTAGAGTCCTATTTGTTTATGATGGAATGTAACTTTTGCTTGTTGTTGTTCTTTTGTCCCTCATTTGGGTGCTGATGAATTTGTTTTACTTATTTTTGCTATTTGAAGCTTCAGTATTTCAAGCAGGACTTCAGGTGGTGGTCAAAGAAGCAGACGCGATGTAAGAATTTATAATCCATCCATTACCGTTAGGCGAGCAATTTGTGTTGGCCTCTGTTGATTTATTGTCATTTGTAATGCTGCAGAGTGCTGAATCAATAGGCACGCTTCCTAGAAGAAGCTGGAAGAGAAGACATCGCAAACCAACCTCCCAGAAGCCCTTCAAACTTATAACTGAGGTTTGTGAGTTCTGTGTATGGTTACTCTAGCATTACCTACTTGGTTGCTTGTTGTGCAAGTATGACCAAATATGTGGTAGCATTATATATGGTTGAGGATGTGCTTATTTGGACAAATTTTTTAAACCGAATGGACTAGGAGACCTTACCTCTACCTCGTGGAGGTAGAGAGACTGTTTCTGAAGACTGGACTATGAAAGATGGATTGAATTTGTGGCTACAAGAAAATCAGAATATTGGTCTTCAAATTCCTTCTGTTGTTGACATTCATAATGGTCATTGTTCCCTGATCACTAGGTGGTCTTTATTTCTATAGTTTCCTCTTCTTTGAATCCACTGATTAATTATGTCCTTTCATTGTTGAACTGCATATATAATCAACCTTTTCAGTTTAGGGTGTCATGTTAAATCCAGTTAATCATTTACCAATTTACTTGAGGAGTTGCTTAGATTGGCTATTGCTGCAGGAAAGGGGAAAAAACAAGGAGCAAGAATTTGTTAAGAAAGTGCAACAAATGGTGGAGGAAGAGGAGAAACAGAGGATACCAATTGCACAAGGCCTTCCATGGACAACAGACGAGCCAGAGGTAGCGTAGGCTTTTCACTGTAGTCATTTCTAATAAGTACTTTATTTGTGAATATATCTACAAGATTATCTTGTTACTATGTCCAGAACTTAAAAGGAAATGCATCTTGTTGATCTAACATTTTACTGAAAGGAGTTTTCTGAACCAAAATAAAAGAGAAATTAAAGTAAAATGTTGTTGGAAGTTCATGTTATTACCTCTCTCACTACACACATCTTTTGCACTTGGGATTATACGTTAGCTAATGAAAACAAAACTGAATTGCTCCATTTTCAACTGTATAGTGTTTGTCAAAGCCTCCGGTAAAAGAGATCACAAGGCCAGTTGATCTGGTGCTGCACAGTGACATTAGGGCTGTTGAACGTTTTGAGTTCGACCATCAGGTAAACTTTTTTTTTCTTTACAAACTTTGGTCATTCATTTACCTAGATTAATATCTCTTCATGAGAGGTAACTTTAGTTTTGTGCAAGATGCTGATATGAACATTATCATAATTTTTGTTTCTTCAAGAATATTTCACACGGAACATGTAAAAATGTATGTCTGTATAAATAGATTCCCTAAGAAAGTGCAACAATAAGAGGACCCAAGCAATTTTCTTCCAGTGAAACACTTGCATATGTACAGAAATAACCAATGTAAGTGCATTTGTATCAGGTAGCGGAAAAACTGAGCTATATTGAACAATACAAAATGGAAAGAGAAAGACTACAGAAGGTAAGCCAAGCAAGTTTTTGGGATGAAATGCATGTATGCAATCTTGCACTTCCATTCTTATTGATACCTTTTATTATTTACCTTCTCTAGATGGCTGAGGAAGAAGAAATTAGGAGGCTGAGAAAGGAACTTGTTCCAAAAGCTCAACCAATGCCCTACTTTGACAGGCCTTTCATTCCTAGAAGGTAGTAACAAATTGCAACTTTAGTTCAACTACAAGCTTTTTAGATGAGCATTATTTCTAAATAGGAAATTTGGTGATCTGCATTAGGTCAGCAAAGAATCCTACCATGCCAAGAGAGCCAAAGTTCCATTTACCGCAACACAAGAAGATCAAGTCCTGCGAGTCTTTGAATGACATGTACATACACAGCAAGAACGACTTGGGATGCAGCAATGGCCTGTGAGACAGTCCTACATACACAGCAAGAACGACAGCAATGGCCTGTGAGACAGTCCTACATTTGGATCTGCATCACCTATTCATATTCTTTTATTCAATGGTGTATATGAGCACTAGTTTTTTCTTAATCGTCTCAATGTTGATAAAGAAAAAGAAACAGTGATTTTGGCTCAATAATATGCCATCTCTATTGGCACAATCCCCGGGTACTTGTGTGATTTGAGTGAAAACATTTTGATTGCCCCATATTTTCAATTGAAATGATCGTTGTTACTTCCTCTTCCCGTTCATCAATTCATCGCCAAACTTTTTGATATGTAAATTAGGCAGCAACATGATCACTGTTGATCACAACATTATTGGAGATTTTACTGTATTACCATGTTTTTTAGTTGATGATCAGATGAAGAAACAAACTCTTGGCTCTTACCTTGGTTTGTTTTTATTTTGTTGTGGGAAATTTGCATTTTTCATTTCTTAAATATCGACAAATTTTGGCAAGAAAGGGTGTGATCTAGCAGTCAATGAAGTGGTTGAGAATCATGAGGTCTCAGTTTTAAAACTCAGAAGAGATAAGAAAACACTAAGCCATTCTTCCATATATCTTAGCAGTCAATGAAGTGGTTGAGAATCATGAGGTCTCAATTTTAAAATTCAGAATAGATAAGAAAACACTAGGCCATTCTTCCATATATCTTAATCTTGGTAGATAGAGTTGTTAGGTATCCGTTGGTTGGAGGTGACAAGTATCTCGTGAAATTAGTCGAGGTATATGAACGGGAATGATCCTTCTATATATGCTCAACTACATTTAAGTTTTGACTATTTAACCTTCAATTACTAAAAGGTGCACTTTTGATTATTTTTCTTGTAAATCGTCACCAATTTAACGAATTGTTAACTGTTAGAAACAACAAACTACTCATGTGTTATAAATGAGTAGTCTAATATTTGTGGATACCTTATTTTCTTTATAAACAAACCAAAAACACATATTTTATTAATTTTCACGAGATAATAATTTTATTTGTCATTCTATCCATTATGTTAAATTATTTACAATTTATGTTGGATGGATGATTTATTCACAAATTATGTCGGATTGATAAACTGTTATTTGATTGTCACAAATTTTGTTTTACTAAAAAAAATACTTGGCATTATTCATTCCACCATGTTACTAAATTAGATAACTCTAAAGTCCGTATCGAATTGATAAAACGTTCTATGTGTTATTTGATTGATTATAAATTTTATTATACTAACAAAAAACTTTGACATTATTCATTCTACCTATCTTACTTTACATTCTCGTGTCTTATTCATAAATTTTATCGAATATACGAGATTTATATTAAAATAATATAAAAATATTATAAGCTATAGTAATCAATAACTTAAAATATCTTTTCAAAAAAATTATATCAAAATTTAATTGTATCTCTAAATTTTAGAATGTTACCAAATATATATACTCCGTTCCATTCCGTGTGTAATATTATTTTTCCTTACATGATCGGAATATAGAAACTAATTATTATGTTGGGATAATGCCCAAGTACCCCCTTAATCTATGCTCGAAATCTCAGAGACACATTTATACCATACTAATGTCCTATTATTCTCCTGAACTTATTTTATTAATAATTTTTTACCTCTTTTTAGCCTACGTGGCACTATCTGGTGGGTCCAACGATGGTTGACTTTTTTTCAAACTAGTGCCACGTAACTAAAAAGGGATAGAAAATTACTTATAAAATAAGTTCAGAAGTATAAGTATGTCTCTGTGATTTCGGGCATACGTTGAAGACTACTCGTGCATTTTCCCTATTATGTTTTATATATAAGTAGTAGAATTGCCTTTTTTCGTTCTCATTAGCAATAAGAGAGAAAGAGAAATAAATAAGGAGAATCAGGCGACGGCGAAGAAAAGAAGCAGGGGACGATAGAAGATTCCAATAGAGAAGATTGCAAATAAGAAAGGTGACATTCTCAAAGCGTCGAGCAGGTCTCTTTAAGAAAGCCAGTGAACTAAGTGATTGTTGAATCTCCTGCCGGTTAACTTTTTTCCTTGGGATTTCCTTCCGTCGACTCTGTCATTCATCAATTTAAAAAAGGCGAAGATGATGGGTTCAATTCGGAGAATTTAGGGTTAGAAGAAGTTGAAGATGAATTTATTGAAGAATGAATCTCAAGCTAGTAGTAGTAATGATGATTTGAGTATGATGCTCAATGATCCCCAATCTCATCTCACTTTGGATAGCTTCCTCTTCAGTACTAATTTCAATCCAAATACACAGGGAATGTAAGTTTGATAATTTCATTCTTTTTGCTGATTACCAGTAAGCAATTTCTGATTTTTGTACCCAGTTTTTGAATCTGAATATATAAGTAATTTTTCTCTGATGATGTAACAAAAGAGGATGTAGCTCAAATGGTAGAGCGCTCGCTTTGCATGCGAGAGGCACGGGGTTCGATCCCCCGCATCTCCAAAAATATTTTTATTTGTTTAGTATCATACCATTGAAATAGGGTGGCGTATCATTCCGTTCGATTTTGAAGATTTTTACTTTTTTGGTATCATATCATTGAATTAGGGTTGCGTATCGTTTAGTTCAGTTCAATTTTGAAATTTTTCGTTTTGACTAATTGGTTATCAATTTGTAGAGGTATTAAATCGTTATCGAACCATTAAGATATAGACTTATCGGTTATTAGTCGTTATTGGTTCGATTATCAATTTAACCGTAAGATTTTGACACACACAAATAAACATTAAAAATCAATTAGAAACAAGGTGCCAAAAATAGCAAGTGCCTATCTTCATGGTTTAAGGCCTGAAAACTGAAGAGCAGAATTTCAGACAAGTGACATATTGGTGCTCAATTAGCACACAAACAAACAAAACACAAAAGAGATTAAAAGATGAATTTGGGAATTCATTTTATGAAAGTGGACCTTGTACTACCTCAGGGTGTGAGGATTTGTCCCCGCCATTTAACGAACCAATTCCTCAATCAATGTGCGATACACTTACCAACCTTTAACCCCCTCCACATCCTAGGACCCAACCTATGAGACTTGGTCAATACAAAATGTGGGCTCAACATTGGATAAACCAAGAATAGAAACGGATACTCGGTTGGAAAAATGGACTTGTGGCCTCTATCTACAGTAATTCAAAGGGGCCATTTGGTTGAAAACAAGTTTGTATAAATTTCTAACAAGTTATTTGTTTACAAAAATACCCTTTCACCTTACTGTTTGTTCAATATTTTAAAAAATAAAGTTTCGTCAATTTTTTAAAAAAGTATTTCGTAACTGGAAAAACAGTTTATAAAAATTATTCAAATTTAAATTTGGAGCTTATTGATTAGTATTATTACTACTTTTCAAAATGTAGATTAATCATCAAATTATTTTAATTGAAACACTTTGAAATAATTGTGTAAATTTATAATATTTTTAAAGTAATTTTAAAATAATGTTGTGTCCCCTTTTAGATAAAGATGATAATTTTTTTTTGTTTCACTGAAATATCTTATTAAATTAGTATTAATCAGTTCATTAGATTATATTTTCAAAAAAGAATAACGGCTCATGATAATCCCTTTTAATGTAAATTTAACTGATTTGTTACCTAAATTTAAACTCAATTTGAAAAAGCACACTATAAATACATCAGTTACACCCATAACGTCTCTTTTCAACGCTCGTCTCCTCCTTTACAAAGATCGCTCTTCTCTTCTCTCTTCTGCACAACTTTGAATTGCTCTAAATGGTGAAATTCCCAATTCCATTTTCAATTTTACTTCTTGTTGGGCAAAAGAAATCAAGTTTTTTTTGGGTGTGTTGCTGCAGACAATGGTGAAGATCATGGTGGCGAGGATAAAATTGCTGAGAAACAAGGAGGTGGTTGTCAGGAAAATGATGAGATACAGACATTGGTATGCTTCTCGAATCCCACTGCTCGATCGTATTCAGGTACTTTTTCCTCTTACTTAGGGTTTGAGGGCTTTGTTGATTGATTGATCAATTGAACCTCGAAATCAACTCGTAGAAATGTGTAATTTAGTATATCATGCCTGGGATCATTTATATTGAATTATTATTCCATCGATTTCAAGTTACGTCTTCTGAAATTCATTCACTAAAGTTTCAACTTTATCAATTCATACCCTTGTTTGCCTCTAACGTATATATTACTGCACATTTGAAAAATGTCTTGTGAAATTCAACCTATATAACAACTTTCTTCTTCTTCTTTTTCTTTATAAGGGCTTAAATTTTGGTTGCAAGCAATGGCTGCGAATCCATCTGGGTTGGAGAATTGAATGCTGGAGCGGCCAAACTTGTGTGAGTGTTTTCTAATGTCTCGAATCATCAACTGTCTTTGCTCGTATCCTCCTTCTCTTATTCTTCCAAACTTGTGTGAGTGTTTCCCTGTTTTTGGTCTCTACTTATTTATGTGTATTTTTTTGCTGTAGGAAAGTAATTGGAGTACTGAGTTTTATCTTATTTTTTGTGTATTTTCTTATTACTGGTTCGATGATTCATTTTCTGTATGTTGGTTATGGCCTATGGGGTTTCTATAAATTTGTGTATGCAAGGGAAGTGATGGTGGGTTTTATGATTCTTTTTGGGGGTTTTATTCTAGGATTAGTAAGTAAAATGATTGAAGATATTGGGTGAAAATTAAAGTTGTGAAAATCAAGTGAAGTGATATGAGGGTTTTTAATATGAGGAGATTTACAGGAATTCTATTTTTTGGTCAAGATTGTGATATTTGGAAGTTGAATCTTTTCTAAAATTATGTCCGAGTTAAGTATTCTTCAAAGTTGAATCTTTTCTAAAATTATGTCCGAGTTAAGTATTCTTTAATGCTTAAAAAGTATTATGAATGGAAAATCTGAAACATCTTCCCCCAATTCCTGCCTTTTTTATCTAGCCACTTTGCATTTTAAACATTTGAAGAAAGTTCTAATGAATATGTTATCAGGTTGAAGAAAAGTTCTCACAGTTGGATACCTTTTGTATTATAAGCTGTTTTGCACTGAGAGTAAATTGATAAAAAAGATTGTTTTTTGTATTCGAAGTTGTAACTAACTACTGGGAATCATTTTTTGCTTTGGTACCATGTACATCCAAGACTACGTATTAAGAAGAACATTTCTATACTTGCAATAGTAATACAGTTCCAGCATCCTCCTCTGTCAGACCAAGCAGTAAACCTGTTATTGTTCAAACTGTTCTTCCTAAGATCACTGCCATTCCTTTTCTTGCCACTTGCAGCATAGACATTTCTCCATGTCACGCAGATGGATCATTAGTCTCCATTAATAAGCACCATCTGTATTTGTTTTATCATCAAGGAGCTTCAATCAGAAAGATGCTAAGCAGAGTAATTGGCTCATCCATCATTACAACTAAAAACATCATTTTTTAGAGTTTGATTGCTCAACATGGATTAAAGTCTTTCAAAATTTCCCTGTTTGGTCATTTAAAATGTGAATGTTTTGTCTTCTGCTCTAATTGTTACTTTTCTCATCTCCTTTATCGTGATTAATTTGTGAAACTTCAGCATCACTTGTGTCATTTAGAATAGTGATTTATACTCAAATGTACATGCAGGGAGGATCAAGATTGATGGGATAAAACAAGACCTTGGTTCGGTCCTTTTTTCATTCCCTTCATTGTGAAAGGTTAGAGAGACTTCATTAGGTAAGAAACACAATATTTGATTATTACTCAACCCAACTCAATTTTTTTAATGTCTTCTTTTTGTTAAATAAATTGAATTGTTTAAGTGCATTCTAACTTTGTTTTTTTTCAGAGGGGCGGCCTTGGGGCATGACGGTGCCTCGGGGCTGCTGGGGGGAGGCCTCGGGGCACGACGAGGGGGGCGGCCTACCCGCACTTGGCAAGCCTGGTGCGACGAGCTCGACCCAGAAGGCGCCCCTTGCTTTTCGCTGGCAAGAGGTTTCGAACTTGTGACATGGAAGTCCCAAAAAATTAAGGAAAATATTTTCCAAAACTTTCATCCAACTTCAAATTACATTTTTTTTTTGGAAAACACATTAATCTTTTAAAAATATTTTCTAGAAAAATTTCATTCATAAATCAAAAACTAAAACTAAATATGAGAAAATAAGTCCAAATCATTATTCTGTGGCAGTTCTTATGTTCCTTGATGATAAAATGTTGAGTGGGAATTGTCTTGCTTCTAACTTAGTTATATTTGGATGCTGATGCATAATTTGTGAGTGGTAAAGGGACAGACACAAACATCTAAGACTTGGCACATATCATGTTCCAAATCAATTTATCTACATAGGTCGAAGTAAATATCTGAAATCATCCATTATTGTTTATTCTGAAGGTATAATGTCCAACTGGAAGCTAAATGCATGTATCTGGTTGTGTTTGTGTTTCACGGGTAGAAGAAAGAAAAAAGTATGTAGGTCAAATGAATGAGAAAATTACATGGTCTAGTTCTTAATCTCTTCCATATTTCTCAATGTTGCTTTCGACATTACAATGGCTAGGATGTTAAGGATTCAATTTAAGAGCATTTAGAAGGTTTGACAGTCTGAATTATGGATGTTTTAGGTCCAATTATTGCAAAAGCTTACTCTTGGTTGGTTTTATACCTGTAGTCCATTGTTGAATATGTCATAGTTTCTTTTGTGAACGGCAAGCAGGTTGTTGCAGAAAATTCAATATTCCAAGCTAAAGCGGAATCTGCAATCACAATACCTAAAAGGTCACAGGTTTAGTGCTGTAGAGTGGTGCTAATGCTTTCCATCTTTTGATATCATGCACTGGTACTGTTTTGCCATACAGATTAGTTGATTTGTCTTGGTTCTAATTTCATCATTTGTTTTTTTTCCTCCTTATGCTAATCATTTGAACAATCTGACCATTTGTATTCAGGGACATTGTGGTTCTTGTTGGGCTGTTGGTGCTGCTGAGTCGTTGTCTGATTGTTTCTGATACTCATTTTGGCTAGGTAAATTAATTCCTTCATGCAAACAAAGTCTTGCAAGTTTATTCTAGTTATGGTCACTAATGATTCAATTTTTATATGTGAGGCAGAATATATCTATGTCAGCAAATGATATCATAGCATGCTGTGGTCACTGAAGAGGTAGTAATACTGTTACATCTTTTTATATGTTGTAGGATTTTTACACCCATTTTAAAAAGATAACCCATTTTATACCCATTTTCCTGTCAGTGTAACCCTTAGTTTGATAAAAAGGGATGTTCCCACCCTGGATATTGCCATTCCATAGTTCAAGAGGAAGTGTGTTAAAAAGAATCTACATCGGAGTAAGTCCAAGCATTTTTACGTCAATGCGTTCCTGAACGTGGAACTTGATGTCTCGACGCCTCAATGTGATTACTAATTCTTCAAGTAAAACACTAATTAAATAGGATTCATTCAAGTTTCTGAAGATTTGGGGAATAATAACATTTTAAAGCTTCATATTCTTCCCCTCCTAAGTTATCCGCAACATTTGTAATCTGCAACTTGGATATGGGCTGCAAATTACCATTTCTTTAACTACTACTGAATCTGGTGTAATGTTTGGTGACAATGCTGTTCAGGATCATCCAGTGGGCAGGAAAGGGAATTTGATTACTTTGTGTGGTTGGTTAAAGAACACGGCAACGACATGATTGCTACTCCAGCTAATACTCTGCTTGTTGAAAGTGGAATGAGATTCATATTATATGAAATCAAATTGCTCGAGTATTAAGTAAATCTAGATTTCTTTCTAGACACAACTGAATCTGTTTTTGAGAGACTGGAAGATTAGAGATACTTTATTCTCTTCGGACAGAAATCTTTCCCACAACCGAAGCAGAGCAGTCGGAAAAACAGCATATCCAAGCAGGTTGGCAGAGGGAAATGTTACCAGCACCATCATTAGCGTAATTTTGCAGCTGAGAACCAGTTAAGCTCTTTATAAGAAACAGCATTTGGGAGCTGAGGAGCAAATCTTAAGTCAGCTTCTTCGCGGTGGTGATATCTTTCTTTCCGCTCTTCAAAAGAGGTTGCTTTGATGAAAATTTGCATCGCCATCACGGTTCAAGTTTCATACTAGTACAAAATAGTGATTGATGGTACAAAAATTGAGTGAATTTTTCATTAGGACAATAAAAAATAAGATTGGAATCAAAAGGGCATGGAAGAAGGAGACCTGCTACATGTAAGTCCGCAGGTCAACCTGGGACTGTCATTGTACTCTGATCAAACTAAAAGGTCACAGGTTTAGATTGTAGAGTTTTTTAATAGAGTGGTTCAATTTTTATGCGAAGTTACTTTTAATTGTCAAATAATTGTTTGACAGAGTTCAAAATAATTGTTGGCCACCAACTCTACCTTTTTGAATTCTAGTGTTACCATCTGCTATAATTGTAGAAATATTAGTGGTTTATATTCTAGTATAATTATGTTTATCTGCTTAAATAGGATCCAATTGAAGGTTTTGATTTTAATCTTTTCTATTTTTACCCTAGCTAGCATGACTTTTGAAGTTCATTCAAAAATAAAAATGTTAGTTCGATTCAATTAAGCCCATTAGATAAAAAGATCAAATAAATACTAAAAATAAGTAAATAACAAAAGGGAATCTAGACCTAGATTTTACTTTTACCGTCATATCTATAAATAAATGTATACTATGCTATGTAAACCAAAGGGGATGTAGCTCAAATGGTAGAGCGCTCGCTTTGCATGCGAGAGGCACGGGGTTCGATCCCCCGCATCTCCAAAAATATTTTTAGTTGTTTAGTATCATACCATTGAATTAGGGTGGCGTATCATTTTGAAGATTTTTACTTTTTTGGTATCATACCATTGAATTAGGGTTGCGTATCGTTTAATTCAGTTCAATTTTGAAATTTATCATTTTGACTAATTGATTTAGTTCAGTTCAATTTTGAAATTTATCATTTTGACTAATTGGTTATCAATTTGTAGAGGTATTAAACCATTATCGAACCATTAAAATATAGACTTATCGGTTATTAGTCGTTATTGGTTCGATTATCAATTTAACCGTAAGATTTTGACACACACAAATAAACATTAAAAATCAATTAGAAACAAGGTGACAAACCAAATTACATCTTGCTCAAAAGCAAACATTTTTACGTTTTAGAATAACCAAATATTTGAGACAATCAGAAATAAATGTTGGAAACCAATATATAAGTCAAGGACTTTATACATAAAATAATATAAATATAATATTTTAATTTACTATCAAGTAATCAATTAACCCGTTAAGAAAAAACCTCAAACGGTTAAGAAAAGATAACCCGATAAGCAATAAAATCAAAACATTATCAAAATCGCTAAATCAATAAACTGATAATAACTTTTTTTTAGTTCGGATTATCAGTTATGATAACTAGTGTTAATCACCATGCACCCCTATAGTTGTAGTAACTGTTCAGACTAATAAGTTGTTCTGCATTTCCCTCTTGAATTCGGCATAGTCTGTGAGCAAGCTACCGTTTACTTTACTCTTCATGTTCTGCAGTAGTCCCCTTAGCACCTGCTCAAAATTGCAGAAAGATTAGTTTTGTTAAACTCCTTCGCAAGAGAGATTAGGTTCAGTATCTAACCGACTCTGCAACATCTCTACGAACAGCTTCAGGGACTAAAGCTAGGACGTGGGGAAGAACAAAGCTAATACTCATCTGTAGTTGACCTTTCAGCCTGGTCCGTGGTCCATTTCTGTCGGGGTAAAGAGAGCCTTTTACACCAAGTGAGAACTCAGATGGCTTCAGCACATCATCCAACCCCTGAAGCTCCCATCTTATCTGCATATTTATGTGGCTTCAACTCCACAACAAAGACAACAAATGTATATATGATTATTAAGGTTTGACACTTACTATGTCGAGTTCAAGAACCTTAGAAACAGTATTGGGGACCCCCGGTGGGTACTCGACTCCTCTGGTTTTACATCTCAATCTCATATCAATAACTGGAAAGACAGTGATCAACAGGAACTCTATGGGTAGCATGTGAATTCTCCACTCTTCCTGCGTGGAATTAGTAGTCGAGCATATATAAAAATGCATGTTTTTAATACTGAAACGAGATCCCCGACCATTCCATCTCGACATTAAAAGAGGAAAAAATAACTTTTTTTGGCAAGTTCTGTCAAAGTAAAGACAACTTATCTAATTCATTTGTGTTTCTGAAAGTGTACATTCAGCTCAAACTTCAAATTGTGGCATTCATCAACGTCTAATCAGTTAGATAGCCAACATACTTTGTAACGGTCGAGAGTAGTTTAGTATAACCTAAAATAGTGAACTCAGAAGAATAGAGCGTCTAAGGAACCTGATTGCCTTGAAGCGGAGATGCAACGAAACAGGACAACCTCACAGCTGAATTGCTCAAACTTCTTCCGGAAGTAGAACTAACATGGGACCTACTTAAAACCCCGATATCTTTGTTTGCTGAACTACATTCTTCACTTTGTTTTCCGAACAGATATTGTGTTCATCAACAAGAGACTCAGATTTATAAATACTGATGTTAGGACGAATATAACATACGAGTCAAAGACTCATCATCATAGTAATATCGGACATGAGCTAAACAAGTTGACTTTCATTGAACTATGACCTTGTGTAAAGAAATAGCAAGTGCCTATCTTCATGGTTCAAGGCCTGAAAACTGAAGAGCAGAATTTCAGACAAGTGACATGTTGGTGCTCAATTAGCACACAAACAAACAAAACACAAAAGAGATTAAAAGATGAATTTGGGAATTCATTTTATGAAAGTGGACCTTGTACTAGCTCATGTTGTCCGCGCCATATAACGAACCAATTCCTCAATCAATGTGCGATACACTTACCAACCTTTAACCCCTCCAACATCCCAGGACCCAACCTATGAGACTTGGTCAATATAAAATGTGGGCTCAACATTGGATAAACCAAGAACAGAAACGGATACTCAGTTGAAAAAATGGACCTGTGGCCTCTTAACTCTAACTCGAAGGGGCCATTTGGTTGAAAACAAGTTTGCATAATTTCCAACAAATTATTTGTTTACAAAGATACCCTTCCTCGAAGGACCTCAGGGGTGTTTTTGTCATTTTTCATTGTTTTATCTCGAGATAACTAATCCCATTACTACTACCCCACTCACTTTCAAGGCAGAGGTAACTAATTCAGATATGTTAGTAACCAAACAAGATATAAAAGGATGCTAAAATTAGTTCATAAATTAAGTATTTCCCCATGGAGTAGAAAACAAATTATTGGTGATGAATACCTGATTGAGTTGGTGACTTCTTCTTTTGTCAGGAAAAATGGCCTTGAACACTCGAGGCTTATTCTCCAAATATCGATCAAAGCAAGCCTGCTCAAAATTCAATGATTCAACTTAATTGATTTACAAGTAGATAATGTTTAAAAATTGAAAAGTTGAATAATACCCTGGGGTTTTCATAGAGTGGAATATCAGTGCTAATTCTGCAAGTGTAAGTTGTAGCATTATCTATAATCTGAGATTTCACAATCAATTGTTGGCGGAAGAAGAATTTTCCTTTTTCATTTAATTTGGGGACGAAGAAATTGTTGAGGAATGAAGATGATGTATGAGATACTGCAATTTTTGCCATTTAGCTGAGGATTACTTAATTGAATGGTCTAATGATTTTGACAAGGACTCCATTAATGTTGAAATGGAGGAGAGTGACGGACAGAGAACCATATCTACTCTATATACATACATGTGGCCTTTTTTGGTCCATTCATCAGAACACGGATAGCACACTCCGAGCCAAGTGGGGTTCATTGATTCGAACGAATACAATAATTTTTTTATAAATTTTATATTATATTAAAAAAATTAAGTAATAATAACTTGTAAAATCCTATTTGAAAATTTAAAACACTCAATCTCGAGCTCAACTTAAATTGGGAGTGTTTGAATGGAGTTCGAAACTCAAAGGGTATAAAATATTAATAAAAATTTTAAAACGGTATATAAAATTTTATATTAACCAAAACGGTAAAATTGTTATCGGTGCAGTGACTTACTTCACCTGAAAAAGTGAAATCGCTGCTGAGGCAGCGATTTTGCCAAAAAAAAAAATTCAAAAATTTTCTTCTTCCAAATCACTGCCATGGCAGCGATTTCATATTATTTTTTAATTTTCTTTTTTTAAAAAAAATAAGGTATATCGCTGCGCTGCAATAAGCAATTTTTTAAATAAAATAAAATAAAATGTTAAAACAGTGATTTTATATATAAAAAAAATTATAATATTTTTTAAAATTTATGTATATAACTTATAAGAAAATATATGTTATTTTAAAAAAATTAAAAATAAGTAAAATAAATATATTTTCTTTCTAAAAAAAGATATCATATTGAATTTAAATTTAAATAATATTTGAATTCACATGACAATAATAGACCCTTTGTTTTTATTGTAAATTTTGAAGAAAATATTCACATGTAAATAGTACATAATACTTTCAATTCTATAAATTGGTAGTTTCAATCTTTCAATCTTCCAATCTACTTTCAATCTTCCACAATCTTAAAATTCTTGTTATTCTTCAAATTTTCTAAAGTTTTTAAAAGCATTTTCTTTATAAGGTGAGTTTAAATTTATTTTATTTTTAATTTATTTTAATTAATTTTATACTTTTATATGATATTGTTGATATATTCAATCGTTTGATACTTATATTAATGTTAATTTTTCGTTTTATTTTTTGTGTATAGATATGCATCTGTCAAATTTATACGTACATCCTGGTCCAGTAGAGCATGATGTATTAAAAATTCAAGTTCATCATCGTTCCGAAGGAATTTGGAACGGTAGCATAAAAGAAGAGAGATGTTGCTTATATACGCGTCGTGGTGATATTGAATTTTGGCAACATTTAAAATATCATCCATTACATTCTCGCATCCTTCAATATTTTGAAAATTATAGATTTAAAGGAATTCTTGATGTTGGATGTGTGTCGTATGACTCCGGATTAATTTCTGCTTTAATTGGAAAGTGGCGTCGAAAACTCATACTTTTCACATGCGAACTGGCGAGGCTACCATAACTTTACAAGATATTGAAATTTTATTCGGAATGGTAGTAGATGGTAGACCTATAATTTTAAATGGAGCTGATTCTCTAGGGATTATAGGTAGATAAGAAATGATTTTTCAATTAACAGGATGGTTACCCGATACTAGTTGTTTTTCTGGTGTTAGTAGATTGTTAACATATAAATTGATTGAGTATATAGAATGTTTGGAAGTTATTAATGATAACTCAACTGAGCATGAAGTTCAACAAAAATTTAGATTATATTTATTATGGTTATGTGGTGGATCAATATTTCCGGATAAATCTAATAATAAGATTAATTTGGACATTTTGATTGACATGAGAAATTTAGATTTAATGTCAACTCAAGCATGGGGATCGGCCGCATTATCATATTTGTATAATTGTTTATGCCATGCGTCAATGAAAAAATCAAATGAAGTTTGTGGATTTCTCTCTTTAGTGCAGATATACATATTTTTAATTAAATATTTTTTATATACTAGTAATATGCACTTTTAAATTTAAGTGCATTATAAGTAATGGTGAATTTATTTATTGTAGATTTGGGCATGGGAAAGAATTATTCCCCTGCAACCATTGCAAAAGCCTCTAAGAACCAATCAATTTGAGGCTTCAACTGTGCTTGCACGTAAATGGACGTGACGTAGACTTTATCAAAATGAGGCACGAACTGTAATCGGTGTGATTAGGGATGTACTTGATAATCTCACTGATGAACAGGTATTTAATATTATTAGTATCTTAAACTTTTCATATTTTATTTTATTTTAAATAAGAATATATTTGGTAGATCTTTAAATGACACAATGGTACAAAAAAATTATTTTGTAAAATTGTTCATTTTCACGTAAATATTTTTTTTCTGCCAATGTTGTTTTTATAATTATCTTACTTAATTATTTTTTTATAGTTTATTTGGCAGCCTTATTCGGAAGATGTTATTAATGGATTGCCTGAGTGGTGTCGGTCAGGACAACGTGTCTGGATGGCACAGGTGCCACTGATTTATGGAATTTATCGTGAGTGGCACATGGTTGATCGTGTTGTGAGACAGTTCGATTATTTACAACATATTCCTGGACCGTGTACCCAATTTTCCGAATATCATTTTAAGCGTGATAAACGATCTATAATAAAATAAGAAGATATAGATGCATTTAACTATACACAATATTTATGGGAACAACGTCAAAATCGTATATTTCGACCTCCATTTGTAAGTGATCAAACAGATTACTTTCGATGGTACATAAGGCATACCCGCATGGTCATTGGAAATCCACAACATGTTGTACAAAAAGGGTATCAACACATGGCAGGAAGACATGAGGCATTAGTATGTATATTACATAAATTTTAAATTATTATGTCAATCTTTAATAAATTTTTTTTATTAATATTTGTTTATTCTTTATAGGCTAGGGGTCATGAAATGCAGTATCGTCGAGCTCGGATGATTGAAAATGATGAAAATCAATCTAATGAAATGAGACAATATGCAGCGGAAGTCGCTCGTATTTCAATGGAGTCAATGAATGCGGCCTTTCAGGAAACGCGATTGAGCTTTGATCCTGATTACAATCCTCCCACTCAATACGATGAACCACCACCAGTACAAGTATCTCGCCGATCACGACAAACAACACCGAGAGAGGGTGCTTGTCGAGGTAGAAGGACCACTGGTGAAACAACTGATTTTTCTGCAAGGCCCTCTAACACTAATGTGGCGACTCCAGAGCCTTATTATCCCACATTTGATTTTTCTGCAGGGCCCTCTAACACTAATCCGAATTTTTCTAGTCAGCAAACAGTTGGTTTTGTAACTCCGCAGGTTCCAATATCTGGGTTTGCACAATTTAGTGGTTCTCAATATGGTTTTCAACATGGTATGCGTGAATTTTCGATACATAATTCTCCATTTGGTGGAAGATTGAATTTTTCGAATGTAAGTATAATTATTTTTATACAATTTTTTTAACTTTTTATAATTTTTTTTATTTTTATTGCATGTTTATTTGATAATATTATGTTATATTGTATTATAGGTAATTGCGTTTGATGATTCAAGATTGAATGCTGGGGCTTCACAAAATTTAGTTCTTAATAGACAAAATCCACCTCGGAGAACATCTAGGCTACACAAATCAACTAGATATGGAACAGGCAGTCACTATCAAAATGAGGAAGATTTTGAAAATGAAGATGAAAATGAAGATTCGGATTCAGAAGAATAATTTTTTTTATGCACCTTTATTCTAAAAGGCTGAAGATTCGAATTTTGAAATATGTAAATTTTGTTGTTTCGTGCAAGTTTGAACAAAGCAATGAGATTCTTTCCTTTTTTTATTTATTATGTTTGAACAAGTTTGCAGGATTTACTTTTCTTTTTGTAATAGGTCAAATCAATACTTTTTATGTTAGGTCAAATCAATACTTTTTATATTAAGTAAAATCATTATTTTTTAATAGAATTCAAATCAGTAATATAATAATAATGTAAAGATATCATACGTACAATATTTAAAATGCACAAGACAAATTAAATTCATGTCAACAAATAAATATAAAAGATATATCATAGGTCAAATCAATACTTTTTGTCAATATTTTTGTATGTTTGAACAAGTTTGCAGGATTTACTTTTTTTTTGTCATAGGTCAAATCAATACTTTTTATGTTAGGTCAAATCAATACTTTTTATATTAGGTAAAATCATTATTTTTTACGTACAATATTTAAAATGCACAAGACAAATTAAATTCATGTCAACAAATAAATATAAAAGATATATCATAATATTAATAACAAGATAATAAAAACACATTAACCTTAAAAACATATCCAAAATATTTAAAATCGAGTAGGACATCGTGCCTTTGTGTGACCTGTCTCCTTACAAACACTACATTTTCTAGTCATGCGAGCCGGAGCTATATCCATATCATTCTTAAGTCGGCTTCTTCCTTGCGTACCACTTGTCCGCAAATATTCAGTATTTACAATTAAATTAAAAGGAGCTGGTGGCCAATACATTTCATCACCCACTGAATTAAATGTCTCATTGTATGTTCGTTTATAATATTTTGCACTGTAGAATTTACTTACATAAGATTTTGGCTCGATTCCGTGAAGTCCACAAAATTTGATGGCATGCGAACAAGGCATATGATAGTTTCTCCATTTTCCACAAGAACATTTCTTACCTTTTGCAGTAACCGTTTGGACATTTCCACATTTACCATCATGAGCAAAAGTAAGAATTTCAAAAACTCCATCACCTGTGTTGTAAGTCATCATATCTGTGTGCCCTTGAGCTCTTTGATAATAATCATTAAATTTTTTATCTATCGCAAGAGGCCATGGCATATTACTTTGAAGTAATGCAATTGCAAGATTGTTTCTTTCGACAAAACGATCAACGAGAGCTTTAAACGTCATTCGAACCATGGCAGTCACAGGAAGCCCCCGAGCTTTTTTCAATAAACCATTATATGACTCAGACACATTTGTCGTCATGGCACCCCATCTACGACCACCATCCTTATACATTGTCCATTTTTTCAAAGGAAATTCATTTAACCATTCATATGTTGCAGGAGACAATGTTTTGATTTGTTGCATCTGTTGCATAAACTTTTTTTCCTGATGCTCAGTAGCTGCCAACCACATTAGATTTTCGAGTTCACTATTTACAAATTTTTTATTAAAATTTGCTTTTAAGTGTCGAACACAAAATCTATGATATGTGTTGGGTGGACTCAACCAATCATAAGATTGAACGCACTGCAAGATTCCTTGATGACGGTCAGAAATAAGACCAATTCCTTGTCGTTCACAAACTATATGTGTCCATAATAACTTGAGAAACCATGACCAAGACTCAAAACTCTCACGTGCAACTAAAGCATATGCAAGTGGAAAAATATTTCCATTCGCATCAATTCCAACCGCAATTAACAATTTGATATCATACAAACCATAAAGATGTGTGTCGTCGATAGAAATGACCGGCCTACAACTTTTGAAACCATCAATCCTCTGTTTAAAAGCCCAAAAAAGAAATTTAAAAATTTGCTCACCTTGCATTGTTGTAGAATGATGCTCCCACTCAACCGCTTGAAATCTCTCTAAACCGAATCATCAAATCACACCCTAACTCATGACGCTTGCAAATAACTTTTCAACTTTTACTTTTGGATTGATCACAAAGAAATTCTTTTTTAATAGCAAGACTATATGCTCTTACTGCAGATTTCATTTGCATCTTATTCATAAATAACATACCTAGTTGCATATACAAATTAAATTAATCAACATGAAATAAATAAATAAATAAACAACTATAAAATATTTAGTTTTCAACAATCGAACCTGACTGGATATGTTTAGGATTGTTTGAATTTCAAAGTGTCGTTCGAATGGAACCGTCATCTCTCGTGTAGATAAAATCTTCTGCATTTTCGTCAGTGTGATCTAAGTATGGAATCGCTGTAGAATGATAATTAATACTTTGATCTTCAACGGATGCATTAGGTGCATTATCATCATCGCCGTCATACATATCATCACTGTCTGTTAATTCATGCTTGGAAGATTCATCATTGTGCAACTCACCAACTCGTTCATCACCCATAACATTATTATTTACAATTTGTGTACAATAATTCACTGCATTTTGAATTTGATCATACCTATAAAAATAATAATATAAATATATTACATATAAGAAAAATAATTTTTAAGAAATAAGAAAACATTACTTTATTTACCTATTAGTTGAATCCGATGAGAAACAATTCAAATGACTGAAATTTTGGCTAGACTCTCCCATAATATTCAAATGACTTTATTTACCTAAGATTGTTGGTAGATTGAAAGATTGAAAGTAATATGAATATGAAGGATAAGTCCAATTTATAGAATTGAAAGTCTCCTTTAATTTTTTATGAATTCAATAATTTTTCTCCTTTAATTTTTTATTTAAAAAAATTAATTATTTGAATTCAAATATTATTTAAATTTAAATTCAATATAATATCTTTTTTTAGAAAGAAAATATATTTATTACTTTACTTATTTTTAATTTTTTCTAAAATAATGTATATTTTCTTATAAGTTATATACATAAATTTTAAAAAATATTATAATTTTTTTTATATATAAAATCACTGTTTTAACATTTTAAAAATTTTTTTAATTTAAAAAATTGCTTATTGCAGCGATTTAATTAAAAAAAATTAAAATAAATCGCTACCAGTGCAGCGATTTATAAAAAAAAATGATATAAATCGCTGCCAGTGCAGCGATTTACAAAAAAAAAATAGGCAGCGATTTAGATCAAATTTTTTTTTTTATAAATCGCTGCCAGTGCAACGATATACCTTATTTTTTTTTAAAAAAAAAAAAGAAAATTAAAAAATAATATGAAATCGCTGCCTTGAAAGAAGAAAAATTTTGAAATCGCTGATTTTTTTGCAAAATCGCTGCCTCAGCAGTGATTTCACTTTTTCAGGTGAAGTAAGTCGTTGCTCCGGCAGCGATTTTGTCGTTTTGGTTAATATAAAATTTTATATATCGTTTTGAAATTTTTGTTAATATTTTGTACCCTTTGAGTTTCGGACTCTGTTTGAATGTATAATGAAGTTGTGTTTTATATTTTTTTTGTGAATAGTTTAGAGAAGTGAAAAAAATAATTATTATTATTTTTACCTATTTTTAAAAAATCTAAAAACATTCAACTTCGGGATTTTAGAATTGTATGTCCAAATATATGTTTTCGGAATTTTAACTCCAAAAAGGAAGTGAAATTTTTATGGTTAAATGTCTTGATTTGTGCTTTATTAATTGAAAAATTAGGCTTCAAACGACATATTTTTTTATCTATGTAATATAGTTTATTTTGTCTTTTTAAGACATTACTTTGTGTTGTTACATTATAAAACGAAAATATAATTTAGCATTTTTTATTTTATTGAATATGAAAATTTGTGAGTTTGAGTGATTTTAGCAAAGGCTTCTCCAACTACTCGTAACCGTTTTTTTTTCCTTCTATAATCTGTTTCAACAAACTAACTAACTTCTCATATTTCTTATGACCATTTCCAGCTTCTCACTTGTCTAATCAAACAGAAAAATTAACACAAACCATGTCTTACTACCCGAAAGGCCACCATCACAGTGACGATGTCCCTGAGTTCGATGAGTATGATGAAACTCCTTACGGTGGTGGATACGATATCAAAGTGACATATGGCAACCCAATTCCACCATCGGAGGAGACTTGCTATCCTCTGTCTTCTGAGTCTGATGATTTCGACCATGATCGTCCTCATTATGCTTCCTCTGCAGAACCATCTGCCTATAGTGATGAAGCTCTTGATAATGAGTACCAGAACTATTCCAAGCCCAAGACTCGTCCCTCCCGTTCCCGCCATGAGGATGGGGATGAAGATGAGAACCCTCGTCGCAAGCCTGGGATGAATCGTCCCAGCGGAGGAGGTTATGGTGGAGAAAGTGAGTATAATGAACAGAGCTCGGAATACAATGAGCCAAGTTCTGATTACGGATCAGGTTATGGGAGGAAAAATGACGATGATGAGTACGGATCAAGGCAGAGAAGGAAAAGTGAGGACGAGGAGGAAAACGCAGATTACGGTTCTGGTTATGGACGCAGACAGACCGACTCTCAGTATGGATCAGGGTATGGAAGAAATAATGAGTACGAAGAGAACTCTGGTTATGGACGAAAAACAGACACTGATGAATATGGATCAGGGTATGGAAGAAATAATGAGTACGAAGAGAACTCTGGTTATGGACGAAAAACAGACACCGATGAATATGGATCAGGATATCGAAAAAAAAATAGTGAGTACGAGGAGGAAAGGCAGGAATATGGCTCTAGTGGATATGGGAAGACGACAAACTATGGAGAGGAAGAGGACAGTGGGTATGGAGGGAAATCAACTAGTTATGGGCGTTCAAACTATGAGACAACAGAGGGTGAAGGGTATGGGACATCATTTGAGAGGCCTAGCTATGGAAGGTCTGAGGAAGAGGACTACAGAAAACCCAGCTATGGAATGCGTGACGATGATGATGAAGGCTATGGTCGCAAGAAATATGTAAGTACCTGATCAATTACTCTTCCTAATTTCTGAAAATGAAACTCACTTTTGTGCTCGATCTCAGCTTCACTTATCTAGAGTTTTACTCAGCTTTCATCGATTTGATCTTATAAATCGGCAGGGTGATGATGAATCGGACGAGGACGAGGACAAGAAACAACGCCATAGGAGTCGCCAACGTCACCAAAACTATGACGATTGAGCAGAGTGCTTCTATCACCTGCACCGCAGATCCATTCATGCCTTAGTAGAAGTTATAATAAAATAAAGTTGGCATGTCTTCATCAGTGTTTGGTGTTTTGTTCCATTACAAACACTGATGATTAAGCAGAGTGCTTTTGTCATCTGCTCAATATTAATGCCATATCACTAGCTATTAGTAAATAAAAGTTGGCATGTCTTTGTTGTGTTTTGTCTGTTCACGGAAAAATATTTGCAGTAACTTGTAGTAATAGCTATTTTTCTCTTCTCTACTTGAATAAAAACCCAGACTTTTCAAGCAATACTATGCCATAAATAGTTCTCTTGTTGCTGTGTCTTTACATTCTCCAAGAAAATGTGAAGTAGTTAATAACCTTCATTTAAATATGGAAAAAAAGTCTCGACAATTCACTTATTTTGAACTACGAAAAGAATTCCAACAATGGACTTAATATGGACTAGAGAGAGTATATACAAACGGCATAAGTAGGGAAAAGTAGAATTCTTCAATAGTATTACTGATAAACTTTTTACAAACTACACAAATTGGGGATCTTATATGTCATATCTCTACAGTTGTTATCAGAGGAAAAACATTTTCTTCTTTACTCGCTTCTCAAAGTTGCAAAAGTTTTACATTGATTTCTTATTGTACCATCACATGGAAAATGCCATATAATCTTTCTTCGTCCAATTGTTCCAAATCAATACTTGACAAAAATGGTAAAAAGATAAAGTAAAGGTATACATAATACATAGTGTGACATGTTATTATATAATGAGTTACCTAATTCTTCTTTTGAGGAAGATGTAGCTGAAGAAGACACACGCTAAAGCAGCAAAGATAGAATTGCCACAAAGGTCTGTTGAGAAGCAACTCACTCATCTTCTGCCCTTGCTAAGAAGCAACACTGGAATACAAAAATCACAGTTGTAGAAGTGAGAGAATAAGAGAATTAAAAATACTTACTTCTATCTGGTTTTTCTTAGCAAACTTTCGACCATTCTTTGGTAGAAGCTCCAGCTTTTCACTCGAACTTGATTGACGAGAGGTCAATTACTGTATTCTGTCAGATTCTTGGGGCATACATGGACACCGAAATACTTAACTCGGTATGATCATATATACTTATGACTGATCCATAGACAGCTCAAAATGACTAAAATGTGTATCGATTAAGTAATTTCACTCACCTCCTTCACAGGCAGAATATATTACTAAAAGTTGTTGTGCCCTACTGCCCTCTCAAATGCAAAAAATAGGCATAAGTAGATGATCATCAAGCTTTTGTGATTCCCACAATATTTAAAGTTAATTTCTTTATATTATTGATTGGGTAAGCAGTTATTCAGACCTATAGCACACAACACAGAAAGTGCACAGTTTTAGCACTACACTACATAATGAACAAAACAAAACAAGATCAGTCAACTCTATTTTGGTGAACTGGAAACTTCACGATTCATCTCTTCACCATTCTGAGAGGCAACCAATGAGTCAGAATCGGAGTCTTCTGCTGTTACAGCACCTGGGCTATCATTATCTTGGTTCCCAGAATTAGATGAAAATGACAGCGGGTTATGTGTTGAGCTTGCTTTCTTTAGTCCCTGAATGGCTCTTATTGCAGCTAGCGTGCTTCGGTATATATCCCCATTTTCTTCCCCCTGTGGAAATGTTGTATCAGGGAGAACATTGGAAGCATAAGAAGTAGTTGCTCCAATCTGTTCATCTGCAGGGACAGCTGATTCAACAACTTCTGCTTCCAAAGGAAATAGGACCTCAAGATTAGCCTCACACTCATGGACTAATCTCGTCAGAGGTTCCGTAGTAAAGATCGGCTGATGAAGTGCGACTTGTGTAAAAGGAAGACGCAACAATCCCCCAGTTCGTTTGTCATACTTCTTCAATATCTTAACAAGTCCTAATGAAACAAAAAATTGTTAGAGAAGATATCTTGACCTTGCAGAAATCAGAGGTAGTTATACCTCCAAAGCAAGAAATCTTACTTTCGTGTTAAACTATGGCTAGTTATGTGAGAGTTGTCTGTGTTTGCCGAGTAGAGCTATTAGCTCCCATAATTTTACGTCACCCATATTCCTCTCTTTAATACTGATCATCTGTTGTCCCCTCAAAGTATAAAATCAGAAAGAAAAAGTGAACTGGTAGAAGGAATTAGAAGTAGAGGAAGAGAATTAAGGAAGAACGAATCATCATCAGAAAATGGAAAAGGACATTGGGGAAAACAGAAACTCAGAGATGGAGGAAATGTGTTAAACATTAAACCGCATGCGGAAAATGACCTAAAATACCCTTAAACTATCGAATTTGGTACAAAAATACCCTTCGTTAACCTTTTGGCTCCAAATGCCCCTGACGTCAAAGTATTGACTCTAAATTACCCTTATTTTTAACGGTCCACTTCAAAAATAAAATTAATAAATTCATTTATTGTGTGCCGCATTCCTATTGGCTATTATTTAAATTAACCTATTTAATTAATCTCAAATCATTATCCGGATCTACCCATAACCTATATCCGCCTCCGTCTAAATGAGGTTCCCTATCTTCATCTTCTTCATTTTTCCTAGTGGTTCTAAAAATCTTCTCTTCAATCTTGGCTTTTCTCTGTACCTGAGTTTTAACAATCAAGTCTGCTTCTTGAAATGCAACAATAAGATTTTGGGTCAAAAAGGGTAACTTTTCAAATCCAAATCTAGCGTCTAAATTTTGTCAAATATATGGGTAAAATTTTCATCAGACGTCTTATTCTTTGGCTGAAATTTTTCTCTAAAAGTTCATACATTTTTATCTTTGCAACAGGTCTTATGTTCTGTCTATCATTCGATTTTATCTTCGATCTCCATTCTTAAACTTCAAGCTCCTTCATTGACTAAAAAATATCAATGATGTCAGCTTCTTGAGTTCTCTGAACATTCTCCTTGTGATCTTCATGAACTTGGATTGGAGTTACATGAAGAGTGAGCGTGAAATTGAGAAATTGATTTTAGTGGTGAACTATGAATAACCCATCTGATGCATCAGTACATAGAACTCTTTCTTGCTTCAAAAACCCCTGTTGTTTTGATTATCTTTAAATTCTTGAGAAGCTTTTTTTCCCAATAATTTGAAATTTTCAATAGAAAGTAATCAACTTAAAAAAGCTAATTTGTTGATTTAAAGAGGCTTTTAGGCGGGGCGGATATGGGTTATTGGGTGGATCTGCATTCTGATTTGAGATTAATCAATTAGGTTAATTTTGGAAATAGCCAATAGAAACGTGCCATGTAATAAATGAATTTCTTAATTTTATTTTTGAAATGGACCTTTAAAAATAAGGGTAGTTTAGAGCCAATATGTTGACGTCAGGGGTATTTTGGAGCCAAAACATTAACGAAGGGTTTTTTTGTACCAAATTCAATAGTATAAGGGTATTTTAGGACCTTTTCGGAACATCATGAAAATGTGGGGTTAAGTGAAGAGAAAGACAGCATCCAAATACTTGGATTAAATTTGTAATAGTCAAAATTGTTTTGGAGTAGCATTCTGTTTCTCTATCTTCTAGCTGCATCTTTACCTCAGTTTATGTAGTTTGATGAGTTGCTTGTAAGAGTCACATAGGGAATAAGGAACCAATAACAGTGGAGAAAGTGGTAAGAGTCTAAGACACGTGCAGATTGGGAAAAGGATGGTGTTGGGCGGACTAGGTGGAAGAAGAAGAGTATGAAAGAGGGAAGACTTTGAGGAGGAATAGCACGTGATGGATGTAGGGAGAGAGAGGGAAGAGATCCTCTAATCCTTAGAACACTATGATGCTGTAAACACATAACTATCACGGGTAACACATTTCCGAAGTGCCCAGTGAACATTGACCGAAAAACTCTATACCTGCCAAATTTAATGAGCTATAATTTTTAATAAGAACCATCTCCCCGTGTATGGAAACAAAGTCTTTACGGATGTTCATCATTTCTTCACTGAATTCATTGTTTGTTGCAAGAACTCCATCTTTGTCGCTCTTCTCCTTCACACGTTCAATTCTTTCCTTCAGTTCCTGTTATACAAGTAGAGAAAAAAAATCAAAATCCACACTAGCAATTTGAGACTCGCTATGTATTACAAATATCTTTAAGAATATAATACTGCAATACGATGACTCTCATTCTGTTTCTACGTTGATATCTTACACACTCATTCTTGCATCCTTCCAATGTCTACCCCTCCATTAAGATACGGAAAAAGATAACACTGTCCATTTTCAGTGCCCTTCTAAAATCACATATTGGAATATGAGTCAAAAATTCAGAAAATGCGCCCATAAGTTCCAAACTGAAAAATGCATCCTGTTCCACTGTCTGCCTCCACAACTTTTGAAGCGGCCACCAGGCCCACTACAAATTACATTTTCATCCTCTACAACCAAATAACTCACTCGACCGCAGACCTTCAAGAATCACAGAACCCCATACCAGAGAAAGCATTTACCATGCTGTCTCCACTGTGCACCAGCCACAATTGTTGTTTAGTTGGCCAACAAAACTGTAGCTCCGCCACCCCTGTCTTACCTTCCTACTTCAATCTAAATTTCAAATTCACCAGTCACGTCCATCATTAACACACCCGCAGCTTTCCTGGAATCCTTCCACTGCCATATCTCATTTCATTATGGATTACCCAAAAAGTAAACATTTTGATAGTTACTTGACTCCACATTCCAGTGCCAAACTACGTAATGTTTGTAATTGATGAACTTGGTCACGAACCAGGCATGATGACGACAATATTACTTTCATGTCATTGAATGTGAAGTCAAAATTCGATTGTAAATGTATATTCAGGCCTGAATAGGACAGTTGCAGATTGAATATGCAATTATAAGGGCTTCATACTAAAACTTGACAACTTCAGTTTGCACTTTTCAGTAACAAAGTTCTCTAGAATGATTGCCATATTCGAGTCTTTATGCTACAATTTACTCATGATGCCTTATGTAGTAAAGGCTGATGGGACAAAGAAATCCTGCATAATTATATATTATGGAGTGTAACAGTGAACCTTATATGTGTTATATATATGTTAAAGGCATTTGGTTACTTCTGACACCAGATATCATATAATAACTCCTTTCACCAACTACCAATCCTAATCCTGGACTAAGGCGGATGACATGCTCCATCCAAAGCCCTCACGGACACAGGTACCAGATAAAAGAGTTACGAACCCACCCCATTTGTTCTGAAATGTATCATATTCTGATCCAGATGAAGAAAAGTTAAAGACCAAGGTCATCATTGGATCCAATCATTTTCAAAAGAAACTTGGTCCCAGTTTATGATTAACCAAATGACGTATTCAGTATGCATGCAATTCCCTAACTACTAGTACACCTCATGAACCGGCCAAGGGAGGGGTTGACTGCCGGGTTTTGAGGATCGAGACCAGCTTTGGAAACGGCAGAAGTGAAGTGAGTCACCCCCATATAAGTAATATGGGCAAGTACAAGAGGTTAGTATTATGGAACTTTTTTCACTTTTTAGTTAAATGAGAGTAAAAATATATGCAACAGACTGGGAAGCATTGACTATAAGGCAATCTAAAGAATAAAGTGGTATTTAACAGAGAGAATCAATTGTTTCTACTGAATGTTTAGTTTTATTAGTGGGTGTGAGATTTAATTTTTTCACATGGTAAGTACAAAATGAGGTGTTTCATACAGTAACAATTTGAATTTAGGTTTATGTTTATTCTCTGATTGCGTTAAATATCGTGAAATTTATTAATGGAGATGTTATTTAAATAATTATATACATTACTTTTTTGTCTGAACAAGACAAGAAGAAAGCTGTACAACACAGACTATGCCAGTTCCACGCTATCGAAGTCATACAAAAGTCAATAAACTATTTCTCTTATAATATTCAATATATGAATGTCTTTCTTATTTAATCTAGTACTTGGGGCCACATCAGCAACAACGCCGATAAGTGTGGTCAAATATCCTAAAACTAATTTGACTGATAGTTTTATTTTTATTAGGCAAAGAACTAATTAGATAGTTATTAACACTTGATCAAGAAAATTTTGATATTTATTGGTTAGGCAGCCTTCATCAAAAGTAGCAGGACAAGAAGACAAACAATCCCAACTAGTCTCCACGCTGAGTAACAATGATGCAACAAAGCTTCAAAGAAACTAGAAAATGATAAGCTCACAAAGTGTCCTGCTTGTTTAGGCAACCCAAGCCTAGTTTCCATGTTGTGTGGAGGATCATAGGTGGTTGATCTAACAGTTTAGTCAAGCACCCTAACTCCGAGTTGCCTAATAGAAAATTTTCTTCATTGGACTTGAAGAAAGGGTGAACATTTAAGAGTACAAATATTTTTCTGGAGAATTTACTAGAACAAGTAGCTGCTTACCAAGGACATAACCTTAGATAGGAGGTTGTAGAGGACAAGGATCGTGGTAGAAAGATAGTAGAGTGTTGTCTTATTTATCCTTCCATACTAGTAGTAGTAGTACTTCTCTTGTAGTTTTTGTCCTTTGATTTCTGTCACTATTTGTGGTCTCTTGTATTCGATTATCGCACTAATTTGTTGAAGTTATTGTTCTTTTTCAGAATATTTTGACATGCTCTCTATACTATTTCTCCATAATTTCTTTACTTCCGTTATTTCTTTTTCAAACTACTTTGAGATGCTTTTTGCTTGAGCCGAGGGCCAATAGAAAACAACCTTTCTACCTCCCAATGTAGTAAGGTTTGCATACGCCTTACCCTTCCTAGACCTGACTTGTGGGATTACACTAGGTATGTCGTTGTAATCTGTTCGGTCGGGTGTTAGTGTTATATGAGAAAGCCAGAGATATTCTGATGTTTAGTGTTTGGCATTTCCTTGGTCAAATCAGCTCAACAAATTATAAAGGCAGTAGGGGGAATATGCCATTAAGATACTTCTATATCCCCAGCTTTACTAAGAATATTCTCCAGGAAGCTCATGTCATACTATTTCCCTCCACCAGCACCCAACTATTTGCTTCTATTTTTGGGGTATGTCGTGTATATATATCTCCTCTCAATCACTTGAACCATCCATCTGAAGTCCACAAGGGACCATCATTTATTGGCATTGCTCTTAAGTTCGTCATAGTTGCATTTACATTTTTTGGCCTTTGTTGTGATTCATATAGTGATTTACTTCTCCGTTTACACATCAAATGTTACAGCAGCATATCCATCAAAAAGAGAGACTTTGTCACTTAAACAAATCCTAGTACTCTTGAATATCTAAAAATATATATTCTTCAATTCCTCCATCCTTTATCTCACCGCTCACCACGTACTAATTGCCGCTCACAGAAGTGGCAGTACATTTATCCCTCTCTACGACAATAAGCTACAAATAATACAACACGTAAACACCAGAAACATATTCCTTAAAACCTTCACATTCCCAGATCCATCAAAAGCTAACAACTTGATCCAATTTATGCAAATCATTAAGTAAAAATTCTGATGAAATTTTGGTTTTTAGGACTTCAACAAAGCGCAATGGATATAACGGATTCATGCAAGTTGACCACAACTAATCCAGAATCAAGGTGTAATTATCCAAGTGATTGAAATGAAGAAAATTGTAAGCTGAGCTTATCAACTGTAAAATTCTGTTCAAGTTTTAAATTAATCAAACCAATCAAGCGTAACAATTACGCAGTCTCTTCACACCAAAACAAAAATTGAATTTTTTAACGGGAATCTGTAAACAAAAATTTAAATTTCAGAATTACAAACAGGCAAAGCGAAGATTTTTATTTTATTTTTTTAAAATAGAAAAGAAAAAAAAAACGAAACCTGGAAACGGATAATGAAGTCTTCTTCTTTATCCACGTAGAAATCGTTGAACTTGTCGAGTTCCTCATTGAGAATTCTGATAAACCAATCCTGTAGCTCCGTCGCGGCTGCCGTCGCCGGCGGCAGCGGCGGTAACGGAGGTGTATTATCGGCGGTGGAAGAAGGGATGTGCTTGATAAGCTTCTTCAACGGCTTGTAACACAAGTATTTATCCCTCCATTCAGGTAGGGTTTCTTCCAAATGGATGCTGAATTCTTTCCCGAATTTCATATCACCGGCAATCGCTTGATTTTATACAAATTCGTCTAAACACACTGATTTTTAAACAGAATTTTGCTTTTTTTTGGAGTTCTTGAAATCCAATAACATATAGTTCAAAATTTTACAAAAATGTTAGATTCTCACAAAGAATTAGCAATTTTGAGTTTAGGATATGCAATTCCCTCACCCACCAACCAAAGGAACTCAAATTAGCAAGATTTATAAGTTTTTATTAAACAAAGAATTTAAGTTTATCATAAATGTATCCAACTTTTTATATTATTACCATCAAAATACTTCTTTAAGGATAAAAATAATATCTTTACACGGTGTTTTCAAAAGCATTTTTTCTAATGTTACTCCCGAATATTGGTAATTTGTTTTTTCTTTAAATCATATTTTTAGTATTGGTGTAATGCTATTTCACAAATAATAATTGTAATGTTTTTTTCTTCATTATTGATTATTGATACTTATCTCAAATAAAAATCACAAATCATTGAAAAGTTTACTTTTACCTATTCTATTAATAATAACAAAACTATAAAATTGAATATACATAAGACTACGCCCCATAAATCCATGGGACATATGTCCCATTTCTCATGGCTTACGCCTTGTTCCGCAATGTATTAAACGTCTTAACTTACGCCCTCACCTTTTAAAATACTTTGTTCTACAAATGGAGTAGAGGAAAATTATTTTATATCTATGGATAAATATATCTCATAAATAAATATAAAATTAAAAAACAAATTTGTAAAAGAATTACGAAATCATTGTGCTGAGCTTTATTTGTTAATATATATTCAATAATCCTTGACAGCAGAAAAAGTTTATAAAAGTCATAAATAAAAAAAATGAATTTTTACTTTTACATGCGAAATTCATAGCCATGGGCCATTGGTTTTTGAAAGAATATTCGATTACAACTTGTAGTTGAGTGTCATGTCAGCTTAGCCATTCTGTCCCCCAAGAGACGCAGGAACAACACATATTTTAGAAAATTGTTGTCAATCAATGATTAGTGATTTTTTTCTCATAAAAGAATAGCAACCTTTAAGTACTTAATATAGTGCTTATTATTTTTTGAAATCATTATTTGAAATTGTGCGTCGAGAAAATCAGAAATTTGAGAAATATATTTCACTTTTTTAGAAAAATATTATTTATATTCATAAGTTTTAAAAACTATCAAAACTAACCATAAATTTGTATTATAAGTCAATTGAATTTTTGATGCAACAAATATCATATGTAGCGTCCATGACACTGAAGCAACGTGGTAGTTTGGAGTGAATACAACAGACATCATTCCATACATCGTGAAGTAACAAAGTATACCCTAAGATGATTATTTATCATTTTCATCAACCACCATATTATTCCTTTCATATTCACAGACTATTTCATTACTACTTTGATATTCACATAAAAAAATAATGTAGTACAAAGCAAACAAATACTATAGATGATTTTTTGTAAAATAATAAAAAATTGATATAAAATTTTAATTTTCAAAAGATTCCAATGAAATTTGACCCAAATATATATATATAAAAAAAAAAAAAAAAAAAAACTAGTATTATAGCATTTGAGATATTTGTCAAAAACATTTACCAAATAATGGCAAATTATATGGATAAAAACTATTTGCCAAATTTTCCCCCAAATGTTATTTGAAAAATCTATGACCAAATAATAAAAACTATTTGCCAAATTTTCCCCCAAATATGATTTAAAAAATCTATGACCAAATAATAAAAACTATTTGCCAAATTTTTCCCCAAATATTATTTGAAAAATCTATGACCAAATAATAAAAACTATTTGCCAAATTTTCCCCCAAATATTATTTGAAAAATCTATGACCAAATAAGACCTTAACATACAGGTAACTAACTAATAAGGAGTCTCCAACACAGTAAACACAAATTGATTTTCTCCCCTTCCATTTTTTTTTAAAAAAAATGCATTCTTTAAACGACATGAGAGGAATATTCATCCTTGAAGAAATTGAGAGATTAAGAAACACGACATGAAATAATTTAATGGACTGAATCATCTACTAGACGATCCTTTAATTAGGTTCAAACAATTGGATACGAGATGGAAGTCAGCAATAACACAAGTACGAACAACGAAATCAGGATGAAAAGGAAAAGGAAAAAAATCGTTGCAGGTGAAACAGCAGCCTAAATGGAATCCAAAGCCTGAAGAACATCAGCTTTCACATCTTCAAAATCTTCCACTCCAAAGCTAAATCGGACCAAGTTATCCAAGATGCCATACTTTGCTCTATCAGACTGGCTAAGATCCCTGTTTTACAGTTCAAATCGAGCATGTTATCCACAATGTTTTCATTTAGCACTCGATATGTTAGTAGTGTTGATAGAAAAGTTATAGTTTCCAGATTCTCTCCCCATAATAGAGTATACTTTATTGATAAGTAACCATGAAATAGAACATTGACATACCAATAAGACATTATTGCTGGTTGGTCCACAATGCTCTCACAACCTCCAAACGATGGAGCAATATAAGGAATCCTCAGAGCATCCACAAATTTTGCAGTAGTTAGGAGGTCTCCATCAACCTTATAGAAAAAATATAGCCCTTTAATATACTGAAAGCGAGAGAACTGACAGGGATTCCTGGCTAAAAAAAGACCATAGATCTACAGACCTCAAAACTGACCACACCACCAAAGCCAGTCATTTGTTTCTTTGCAAGGTGATATTCCGGATGACTCGGCAAGCCTGGATAATAGACGTGTTTCACCTGCAACTCATTTTATTCAGATATGACAGCACTTGCAGAGATCCTAATGAAACGCAGGAAAAACAAGACCTCTGAACTTTAATGCTACTGCTCATAGATAAGCTAGAAGTGTGGTACGATAGTAAATTTATGTTCAGTAATGAGTCAATCATGCATTATTAGGATGAAGTAGCTACCTGACTAAAGGTAGGTCGTACAGGGAGTGTAACTGTACAAGTAACATAGAAATTTTTTATAGAGTTAAGACGATACTAATCAACACTTTAAGAATGTTTACTTGTTTACAACCTATTTGTCTTAGTGAGTCTGCATGTTGTAGTAGAGGACGACTAGGAAGCACACCAAAGTAGCAACCACGGATGTAAGAATAGTCTTTGTTAAGTGATGAAGGAAAGAAAAAACAGAATCACCCAAAAAGTACAGCTTTGTGATGTTAACAGCAGAATCTACGGGTACAAAGGAGTGATAGAAAAGATCGTTCAGTTTATCTGGCTTAAAAGATCACCCATATTGATGGTGCATCTTCTTCTACTTATTTTAAACTAATAATGACTGCATCTTCTTCTTAAGTTGCTTTCAGCGCTTTATTTTCACTTACTCTAACAAACATCAAGTTGAACATTCTTACTTTTACATAAACATGAATTATCATGCATATTAATAAGGTAATTGTGCTCTAGTAAAATGTGAATTTCAAATCATGACTAACAAAGCTATTGAAGCCTAGAGTACCTTGGGATGAGCCTCTAAAATTTCGGCCATCCTCAATGCAGTAGAATTTTGTTGCTGTACACGAAGATGCAGCGTCTTCATGCCTCGGATGATAAGATATGCAGCATTCTGGCAGTTGGGAAAATTGCATCAGACTTCTATAAAATACAAGCTTAAATGTAAGTTACACTTCATACAACAGCAACAACTACACCATAATTACCCTAAACCTCTGGTTAATATTAAAATAATTAGGTTCTCTAACACTACAAGTTCTTAATATTTTCTCCCGGAATATAAACCCCTAACAAGAATAAAAGACGTTAAGCTAAAGTAAGCATACCAACGTGACTAGGGGTGTCAACTGGGGGGGCAGGTTCATTGAGTTGGGTCGAGATGGCTAGAGATAATGGGTCACAGCTTAACATGCCCAACTCTAACCGAGTTTTAATTTCTTACATTACTTTCTACTAATTTATTTGATTACTAAATAAAACTAATAACCTTTTTTTTAATATGGCTATATCAGACATCCAACAAACAAAAAAGATTATAAATGTTTTGACAAGTTCTTTTATGGGTCGATTTGGGCAGCATACTAAGTCCAAATTAGCACAGCTTATAGATTGGCTGACTTGGGCTCTACCCAAATTGAGCCGCCATGCAAATATGCAAAGTCAACCCGCCAAAAGCAATTCTACCTATATGCAGCATAAAAAGTCAGGGATTCAAGTCAATCAGTACTCAATTAAGAAAACTCACAGGATTGAGAGCACCACCCAGGATATGATGCAAGTTTCGGATTACTGAAACTAATTTTTCAGGACCACTAATACAACCTGCAAGAACCTGTATGAAGCGCAGCATAGCAGTTAGTTTGATGTTTCTTGGTGGCAGCATAGTTGATTGATTGTTAAAAAGCCAGATAATGCCACTTACATCGTTGTGCCCACCAAGGAATTTTGTAGCAGAGTGCACAACAAGGTCAGCCCCTAGAGCAAGGGCCTTCTGGTTAAGAGGAGTTGCAAATGTTCCATCTATGCAAACCAAGGCTCCTTTTTCACGGCAAAGCTTTGAAACCAGCTCAATGTCAACACATCTCAGGAATGGATTTGTTGGAGACTCAGTAAAGAAAAGATCCACCTGCATTGAACAAGGTGCCAGTCATTAGAATCATCTTCCTCAACTCTATAGTTCAGCATAGTTAAGTGATACACAACCATGTGTTTGCATACTTACTTTCTTCTGATTTAATGCTAACTCCAAAGCTCCCATATCTGCTGGATCAATAACTGTGGCCTGTGGTAATGAAACACATCAGCATTTTTTTCTCTTAGACTAACTCAACAAAAGAGAAACGTTATGGTTCAATTATATTAGTCGCCAGCAGTTTTTTACAGAACTGAATTTATAATATTTGTCTCATTACCAAAATAATTACAACAGCTTTACTTAAATCTTGTAATATTTCTGGACTTCACAAATGGAATGCCAAGTATGTTAGACATTAGGATTAGCGCAAGTACCGTAATTCCCATTTTAGGTAATATTGTCTCAATAAAAACACGTGTCTTCCTGTAGCAGTCTGTAGTAGTAACAATATGCCCACCAGCAGGAACCAAGGCCAGGAACATGACAGTACTAGCACACATTCCAGATGCCACTATCAAGGTTGATTCAGCACCCTCAAGTGCACTGTTAGAGATACAAATACCTTATTACTAAAAAAAATGCCCCTTAAATACCACTAAAACAACTAAAGAAAATAAAAGCAAAAGACGAAAATAGAAAATTAAAACAAACTAATTAACCAAAGAAAACTCTAACCTAATTTTCTCCTCCAAAACAACAGTAGTGGGGTTCCCATAGCGGCCATATTCAAAACTTGCACGTCTTTTCTCCTGCCAAAATATCAAAGGTGAAATTGATCAAAAACAAGTTCACCAACGATGTACTTAACATTCTGTCTTACCAATTTGATGGTACACCAGTATAATATCTAAAGAAACTTGAGAATTAACCAAGAAAGTGGCTAGGGTCGTCAAGACTCCCCTTTTCAGGTCAGGAATTTTCCATTGGAACTAGAGAGCGATTGTTTTATTGATTCACACTTTAAGCAACTCAAGGATCAAATACAACAGTAAATACCTTAAAATCAATAAGGTCAGAAGTTTTGTTGAAGAAGTAAGCAGATGTGTTAACCACTGGGGTAGTTATGGCATCAGTAACAATACCGCGTCCCAACCTTTCACCTGCAGAAAAACAAAAACAACATAAGTTTTTTTTCTTGATTCATAAAGCCAATCTGAAAGCACAAATATTACCCCCATCCTCAAGAGATATATTGAAATAATCTTTATTCAAACTAGAGAATACCCATAACAGTACATCTATGATGAAAAGATTTATCTTGTCATAGGCAACTTAACAACCTTCATGCCTTCAGGTGACAATATTCAAGGAATAACATTTCCTTTTCGTTCTACCTTATTGTTGTGGTTTTTTCAGAAGAGGAAAAGAAAGAAAGAATCAACAGAGATGGTGGATTGGAATGAAAAACGAAAGAAATGCTTCTTTCATTTTCCACGCCAACCCACTATCTTTTACTTGGGTTTGGGTTCCACGACATTTTAAACTTAATATCTTGAAATCTGGCTGAGAGTTCTTTGAGCCTCAATTGAACTGAGAGATGTGGACTAATTCAGACAAACTGATAAATAAAGTTGAATACTTTTGGAGTATTTATCCAATTTTAGCTTGAAGTGTTACAGTACTATAGTCCATCTTAAGCCTTCAGTGTGATATGTCTCCGATACTATACATCAACGGACAATAATAAGGCCCAAAACATATTTCACGCATGCATTCTTCCAAGATTGTCAGGTAAACTATGGGTTTTAAACCATTGAATTAATCAATCAACTACACCTCGATCCCGAACTGCTATATATATCTCTGTATCCCATCCTCTCTAACTCAATTTAGACCATTAGAGCAGAACTAGTAGCCTGCATGCTGGCCCGGTAGAGTTTGCTCAAATAGTGTATCTGTATTAATAAATTCATCAAATGTATACACATATTAAATCGAGAAACCAGTTATTATCGCTTAAAGTGCTACGTAATCTTAGAAACCAGTTACTTATCACTTGAAGTCCTTATAAAACTCAGAACTTATAAAGTTGAAATCTTAACTTCGCAAAACAGAAATATATTCATCAGATCTCATCGAGAATGAACCGTCAGCTTTCGTAATACAACATAAACGTTAATCAGACTTCTACATAATAAGAGAAATCATAACAAACTAGACTTATGAGCTGTCAAAAGGATCTAAGAATGATACCGGCATGA